GCCCACGATCAAAACCGTCAAAGTGACGCTCTACGGTTCCCTAGCCGCCACAGGCAAAGGGCACATGACCCCCCAAGCCATCCTCCTCGGGTTCGAAGGCGAAGACCCAGAGACGATCGAGACCTCTACCATCCCCTCTCGCTACAGTGACATCCTCGCTACCAAGTCCCTCTCCCTGGCTGGAAGGCATAGAATACGTTATGATCAGGATAGGGATATGATTTGGCATTGGGATAAGGTGTTGAGGACGCATCCGAATGGGATGCGGTTTAGCGCGTTTGATGAGGATGGGGATTTGTTGGCTACCAATGAGTATTTTTCGGTTGGGGGAGGGTTTGTCGTTAATGACCAGACGAAGGGTGCGTGTGTTCGTTTCCCTTTCCTTTTCCTTTCTGCTTCGCTTTATGCGCTTGGTCAGTTGGTCCGGGTCGGGCTGACGGGAATACGTAGTGGACGAGAACCTATACTACAAAGGACTAGACAAATCGCGTGTCGACCCATCCAGGCTCTCACAAACCCACGGTCTAGGGCATACGCGCACGCAGGAAGAGGGCACGGAGGAAGAGCGGGAAGGGGAAGGGGAACGGCCACGGGACAGGGGGGAGGAATCTGGAGGTAGGGGAGGGCAACCGCCGTTCCTTTTCTCGTCGGGGGATACTTTGCTTGCCCTGACGAAGAAACATAATGTGCGTCGTCCTGCATCGTTCATTTCCTGCTTTCTGTTTCCTTGGCTGGGCGCTGACACCCAAGACGGCAGTTGACGATCGCCCAGCTCGTATACGATAACGAGCGGCACTACCTCTCCGACCAAGAGATCCGAGCCAAGCTCGCCCGGCTCTGGCAAGTGATGGACGAGTGTATCCGTACGGGCGTAACAGCGGTCGACGATACCCTTCCAGGGAGGCTCCAACTCCGGCGGCGCGCACCATCGTTGTACCGCAGGCTGATGCGCGGGTTGTACCCCGGTGTTGCGGGCCCAGAGGGGGAGAGGCAGAGGGCGCTGAGGCTGGAGGCACCACAAGATGGGAGAGAGAGACTGCCGAAGATGGACTTGCCCTTGACTGATAGGCGGAACGCGGCGGCGGCTGGGGAGATGAGGCCTGCGGGGTTCGGCCGTGGCCTGGTGGGGAACTTTGATCATCCTATTATGCCTACTCCTTCTGTGAGCTCTTCCAGTCATACTCCCGATGACAGCTAAATCCCAATCCCAACCAGCGGAAAACGATCTTCCCGGCTATCGACTTCCTCTCCACATACGCCATAGCCGTAAACGAAGTGAACGCCGCCGGAGGGCGGATCGTCACTTCCCCAACAAACGGCGCCTCCGGTCTGATCCCCGCCGTTCTCAAATGGGTACTGGAGTTCATAAGTGAAGACCCGGAGCAGGATATTGCCACTTTCCTTTTGACGGCAGGGGCGATAGGCATGCTTTTTAAACGGGGGGCGACTATATCCGCTGCTGAGGGGGGGTGTCAGGCGGAAGTGGGAGTGGCGTGCTCCATGGCTGCGGCGGGGTTTGCGGCTGTTATGGGTGGTGAGTCCCCCTCTTCCCCCTTCCCCCTCCCCCTCCTCCTCCTCCTACGACGACGACGACGACGACGATGTGCGATGTGGATTGCAGGTGTTGATGAGCTAGTAGGGTCACCGGAGATTATTCTCCAAGCAGCGGAGATAGGGATCGAGCACAACCTAGGCCTGACATGTGATCCGATCGGTGCGTCCCCCCTCCCCTTCCCCCTCCTCCCCCTCCTTCTACCCCGCACGCTAACCACCCCACTCACACGTAGACGGGCTCGTCCAAGTCCCCTGTATAGAACGCAACTCCCTAGGAGCTGTCAAAGCCGTCACCGCAGCCCAGCTCGCCCTTGCAAGCGAAGGAGTGTATAGCGTCAGTTTGGACGAGGCGATTGCGGCTATGAGACTGACGGCGAGGGACATGTCGGTCAAGTATAAGGAGACTAGTTTGTCGGGTTTGGCGGTATGTCCCCCCCTCAATTTCAATTTCCCTGGTTTCCCCTTTTCCTGGGTTTGGCTGCGCTTTTTGGCCGTTGGGCGTCGGACGTTGGCCGCTGGGCGTTGGGCGCGGCGTGGTGTTCCTTTGGGTGGATGCTGATGCGTAAACAGACGACCGTCAGGATCCCCGTTACTTCCCCAGCTTGTTGATCAGCTTTGAAGGACTGGATACCACAGAGGGATAGAGGGCAGGACGTTGTTTGTTTGCGCCTTGGGATTCGTTTAGACCGATTGGGATAGAATTAGATTCAAGGCATGATTAGAGACAAGAGGTATTGTATGATATGGCTGAACAGTAATGATCGTTAGTCCAGACGGGTTCTCCATGCAGTGGGTAGTTTATCGAACGTGTGTATCCCTCCGGTTTGTGGATCACTCAGGCGTCCAGGTGTCATAAGACGTGCACATCCGAGGTCAGAAGGATGAGGATGAGGATGAGAGGAACTGTATTATTGCGACCTAAGCTACACGTACAGCCGGTAGCTCAACCCGAAGAAACAGCAAGAGAACACCCGGCACCTATCGATATAATAACAGGCTACGAGCGATGCAAACGATGCTCGAGACAGAAGGAGAATAAGGTATGGTATGGTATCGCCGTGTGCCGATCCAATAGAAGTTAGAAACAGATAAAAGGTGAAAAACAGAGGAGCAAAGTCGTAACAAGCTGAGATTGTTCCGGGTATCTTGTGAGAACATTCATGCGGGGTATATTGAGTAGAAACTCGGGTATTCATGGTCGAGGGGACTTCTGTAGCGGAGGGCGGGGCGAAACTGGCAGACCTACCTTGCCCATTGGTCGCAGATCGGCTTGGAGGCCAGGTGGTGCCAGCTGCAGGCCCCTCGCGTTTGCCACCTTACGTGCCCTTGAGCCGTTTCCGTTCGTCTGGGCCTGAGTCGGTGTCTGATTCACGTCAAACATCGCTTGCGTCGCAGAGCCTGGCATCGGGATGGTGCTTTTCTCGTCTCCTGTGCTCTGTTCTGACGTCGAGCGGCCGTCTTGTAGACTGATACTATCGACATCAGCGTCTTCCGTCTCCGTGCCAGACCCTTCATTGCTGATCTGGTCCGAGTCGGACGCTTCATCTAGATCCGCTACTTCCGCTACATGGCTGAGTTAGAATAATACCATGGGTGGATCAAGCATGCTTACGTTTTAGAGATCTGCCAGACAAACCCAGGAGCTGGTCCGCCGCACCACTTGCATAGCTTCTCGAGTTCCTGGATCGGGGGGTGCCACCTTCGCCGCTGACTCTCGGTTTATACTCGATGTCTTCGCCGAACTCTGAGGCTCCGAGGGTGTCTGCCTCCACGACGTCTTCATCTGCGTCAGGTTCGTCTTCGCCTCCCACACTGAAGACGTGGTTGAACTCGGCCAACATGAGACTGAACACACCAGCCGGAATGCCAAGTGTGGGGGAGAAAACGATGCCAACGTTGCGCATGTTCATCTTGTTCTCCTGTGAATGTTGGACAATCAGGATCAAGTGCGCTGTCAGAGCGCGGAGGAGAGAGTAATTCGGCAGGGGCAGTGCGGCGATCAAAGATGCGAGTTCTGCTATGCGTTCTTGGGCGTCCATGAGATCTACAGCACTGGATGGGTGGGAAATACAAAGTGGAAAATGATCAAACACACCGATGACAGCCAAGAACCGCAGATGTAGTTCCCTCGTAAGCACACTGGTAGGCAATTCACGCAAATACCCTTTGAGCAAGCCAGCAACAGCGTGCAAGTCCCAGTACTCGTCACACTTGACAAGATCCACGTCCCCTTCAGCGTTAAACCGCTCTCGGAGGGCCTTGACCACAGCGCTGCTTCCACTCAACCGGTAGATACCCTCCTCACGTTCCGCACCACGGGCTTCCAGGTACTCGATACACCTGAAGACGACAGCAGGGAGGTTGGCGATACTGGCTACAGAGAGGCTGTCCTGCAACGCGACGCCAAACACCGCGTGGGCAGGAGCACCCACAGGTATCCCCAGCTGACTGGCAGAAGATGAAGACCCCTTAGAATCGTTGCTTCTTCCAAAGTTCCAGAATCGGCCAGACTTTGCCTTTCGCTCCCTATCACTCCCTTGCGGTTCCCCAAGGAGTGTACTGCTGCTCGCAGAGCCGGTCACAGTACGCTGCGAAGCCGAAGGAGCGATGCCCGATTCGCGCATCTTGCCCGGTGTCAGGTTCTGACTATTCGTCAAGCGGGAAGCGGCGGTGGTCAAATTGTGCACCCGCTGGTCGGGGGGCATCGCCCGCGAAGAACCGTCAGAGTACGTGCCGAGGGAAGAGTTGCTCCTCGGCATTCCCTGGATGGTGTCGAGCGTGCTGGGCACGCTGGCGGACACACTGAGCAAGCGAGGCGAGTCCGGGCCCGAGTAGCCAGGAATATGCGGGCCAGCAGCGAGCTGCGCCACAGCTGGGGGTACGGGGCCTGGAGGGCCAGGTGAAGGCGGAGGAGGAGCAACACGGAAGAGCTTAGCGTTCTCCGCGTCTGGGACAAGCTGTGAGATCGGCACGGGAGCGGCACGAAACACCGAGATCTCATCCTTGCTCATGATCTTGCTCCGTGACCTTATCTCCGTGCTCGAGCGCGGGTCACCATCCTCTTCCAATACGATGCTGACGGGGCCGGCAGGACCGACGTACCGGACCAGATGCTCGACCCACGAGTCCCGCTCTTCGTCGCTCTCCGCACAGAGGACATGTTTGACCGGCGCCTTCCCCTCGCGTTGCTCGATGATGAGGAACGCGTGCCGGTAGGCGTTCTCGTCCTCCAAGTCGGAGTTGTTCGGGTTCGGACCGGTAGTGCTGGACGTAGTTTCCCGGGATAACGCGAGCGAGGAAGAGCTGGAAGAAGCGGTCGCTCGCTGTTGCCGGCCGATCTTTGCGTTTTGTAATTGGATCGAGCCTAGATGGGCGCCTCCTCTCTGTGCAACATATGAGTATCAACAGTACACCACCCATCCCGACTAAACAAAACGAAACGAAACACTCACACTCTCATAATACTCCAACACCCTGCCGCCAAGAACGAAGTACCTCGTCTTCCATCCTCCAAAGTTCTTTCCCCTCTTAGTCAAATACCCTTCCTTATATCCCTCCCTAACGACCCCGCCTCCAACCGCCCCACTCGTCGCTCGAGCCCTAGTAAAGTCACTCGTAAAGAACACACATATCGCGCGGCGCGTGTCGATGCTCAGGGGGAAAGTGAGCAGCGCCTGGAGGTAAGCCGTCAGCGCCGCTTTCCTCTGGTCACTCTTCACGGGCGCATGATCTCGGAAAGCCTTGCCTTCCGGTAACGGACCGAGCTTCTTTTGCATCGTCCTTCCGAGCTCGGAGCGCACCTTGGTGTCGAGAGCGAGGATGTCGCTGTAGAGTTTCTCGACAGCCCATGGTTGCCTCTGGGCCGGGGCGTCCCTTATCCCCAGCCCGACGCCAGGCTCTGAGGCGGAGCTGCTAGGGCTGCCGCGATCGGGCACTGGGTCGCGCGAGGAAGGAGTGAGGAAGGGAGGTGGGGAAACAGCAATGTGGAATGAGAGGACGTCTTTGCCCCTATCGTTAGCCCGGATCGAGGAGTGGGAGATGAGCACGGTCGTGAGGGGTAAGTCGGCGGGGACGAGCTGCGGCTGTTGTTGGGCCTGCTGGACGCTGCGGGTTGATGTTGATGTAGGGGAGAGAGGGCCAGGGGAGGGGGAATGCTGGCGCAGCTGTTGTTGGGGCTGCACGTTCCCTAGAACTGGGGGATCCCTCTCCTTGTCCTTGTCCTTGTCCTTCTCTCGCTCTCGCTCTCGTTCCTTATCCTTATCCGGCCTCTCCCGGTCTCGGGCAAAGATCGCGGGCAGCACCGGTATTTCCTCAGGTCGGGAAAGTGTGTGCATGTGCGCCGGCGCAGGAGTAGGAGGAACGACATTGACGTTCGGTGTTCCTCTTTTCGGGCTCTGTGGTTGTCCAGCCCCAACCCCAGGGCCAGTGCCAGGGCCAGGGGCAACAGGAGCGGCAGAAGAGGGGATAAGAAGATGCTGCGTCCCCGGGTCTAGGGGGCTATCAGGTTCGGAGGCAGAGGCAGTGGCGCGGATAGACGCTGCTGGGGAGGGGAGGGGCACGAGACCGGCTGCGATGGCTGCTGCTGGTGTTGGAGGTGTGGGAGCGGGGACGAAGCAGGACGATGTTGAGGGAGTTGAGGGTTGTGAGAAGTCGGGGTTTGGAGCCCAGGGGCGGGGTGGGTGGGTGTATTGCACGGGTGCGAGGGGTTGGACGGGTTGGAGAGGCTGGATAGGCTGTGGTTGGGTGGAGGTTGGTTGGATATGCTGGGAGGGCGGGATAGGTTGTACCTGCTGTACGAGCTGCGCAGGCGGGGCAAGCTGACCCGGCGACACGAAAGGGAGCGACGAACTCCGCGTAGGCGTAGCAGGCGACGGGGCGGAAACGAGCACCGCTGCTGGGCCAAGAGGAGATGGGTCAGGCGGGCGTTGTTTAAGTACCAGAGGAGCTGTCGTTTGGGTTTGAATTTGGGTTTGGGGAGGAGGTTGGAGAGGAGGTTGGGCTGGTGCTGCTGGGGGTTGCGTGGGTGGGAGCTGAGCTGGAGCGGGGGGTTGGATCTGAGAGGGTTGAGGCTGCGAGGCTACAGTCGGTGGGACCGGGGGTGCAGCGAATCGTGAAGTTGCCGGCGTAGGCGCAGGCGCAGGTGGTGTCATCTGGGTAGGCAGGGAGGAAAGAGCCGTGCTCGGTCCAGACGTAGGAGGCACAGGGGAAACAGGCGATATCTGCCCTGTCGTCGCCCCCACGGCCGCCAATGAGCGAGACGCAGTGCTCGTCGTCAGTGCCGGAGGCGCCGATGCGGCGGTCCTCGGCGCGTCCTCCCCCTTCACGTTAGCAGCAGACGGGGCATCTTCCTGCAGATGCTCGCTCTCCTCGCTCGCCCTCCCTTCCTTCTCCCTGCGCTCTCTTTCCCTTTCCCTCCCCACGGCCCTATCCCTCTCTCCTCTCAACCGCTCACAGTCCCTCTCCAAGCTCCGCTGTGTCATCCTCGCTCTCTCAATCAGCTTCCACAGCTGGGCATTCTGCGAAGCCAGCGAGTTCCTCTCCACCAAAAGCTGGTCAAGCGCCGCCTGCATCGGGTCTTGAGCCGAGGAATGCAGTGCCAGGAGGACATCGAGAGTGATAGGCTTTGCACTTGCGCTATGTCCTGGGTTGGCAGGGGATCCGGATCCGGGGCCAGAGCCAGACTTCTCCCGCGATGGAGGGGTGAGCAGGCGGGAACTGCTCTCTGTGAGCACGCGCCTGTGCTCGGGGGAGTGGAACGTGCTGGGCAGAGAGGGAGTGGTGGGGTTTGAAGGTGAGGGTGCGGGTGTGGGGCGGAGGGAGGAGGACGAGGGGGTGGGAGCGGACATTTGTGTTGTGGTGCCCCGTTGGAGAGCGTGCGAGTGCTTGATGGGTGATGGGTGATGACGCCAGTCGGTGACCTATAGTTGCCTGTGCAATATCAGTAGGCAAACGACGACAGGGAAGACGACGAGCAAGACGCTGGCGACGACGACGACGACGAGGGGGAGGACGACGAGGAGAGAGAGTGGGAGGCGACAGAGACGATGGGGGGGATGACAGGGTCGTTCGGCGCGAGAGATTGTACGCGTGGTATGTATGGTACGACCGACAGGGAATAATACTCCCGTTTCTTCTTGATTCTTTTTTGCTTCTTTATTAGAGTGTCGGTTATTAGAGTCGTGTGGACTTTTGAGTAGCCGAGTGGATATTATTTCATGGGAAAGGACAGTCAGACGACAGGAAATTATTGGAAAGAGGTGCGAGCCCTGGACAACCACGACACGACATGATAATACCTATAGGAGACGAGCAGTGCACCGTTGTAGCCCCTGAAAGCTTCCCCGCCTCAGGGCTTTACAGGGCCATGTTCCAGCGCTCATAACAACCCTTCATGACTGGGTGTTTGATATAGATTTTGGTATTGATACGCGGTGCGTGCGGTGTTGATGCGATGAATGAGTGAGATGAAACCCTCCTTCCTGGCAGTGACCGTCAGGGTATATCGCCAGGGTGCAATGTTTATTTTCAGAACTGATGTGCAGAGAGATGATATATAGCACTTGGACTGTACAGTAAGTCTATAGTCAAATTGTGTTCTGTGACTGTTGAGCGGTGGTCGTGATGCAAAAACTGATCTCCGTCGGCCGAATATCTCCTCGGCTGTAACACCTTCTTTCTTACCAAACAAGTTGCACTGATGCACCTTGTACTCTCTTACTCACCTAACAAGAAGCAGTCGGGCACTCTCTCATCATCCTCAACCGGGCCTCTCCGATAGGTGCAACATTCGAGTGAAAATGGACATTGATGATGACATTGCGGGGAATGTAGGGTCTACAACTGGGACATTATATTTACATCGACGTTGACTCTGGCAGCAACTTACTTTGTCTGAACGTATAAAGGCTGGCTACTCCTGTTGCTACTCTGGCTACTCCTCTTCATCCTGCTCCTCCTGCTCTTACCAACACCCCTCACACTCACACGATGCACATCTCCACCCCCTTTACCCGCCTTCTCTCCCTCCGCACACCCCTAATCCTCGCACCAATGAACTTCACCTCCTCACCCTCTCTAACAATCTCCTCCTCTCAAGCCGGTGCATTCCCCATCTGGGCACTAGACCCCCGTCTTCCTTTCCCCGAATTCCTCGCCCAGCTCTCCCTTGTCCGCTCGCGACTCGCACCCGGAACAGGAACGGGAACGGGAAACCCGACCTCCCCGTTCCAAGTAGGCGTAGCAGCCCTAGGGTGGATGCTAGACTCCCCCTCTCCAATAAAGAAGATGCTCGAGCACTGTATCCTCTCCCCACCGGGCGTAGCCGCCGTCTGGCTCTCCTTCGGCCTGAACCTAGAAGCCCAAGTCGCCCGTATCCGAGCCCTCGACGCCGAGCGCTCCGACGGCCGGCGCACGCTCGTCTTCCTGCAAGTTGGCACTCTGCAGCAAGCGCTCGAAGCAGCTGCTTGGGGAGTAGAAGTGCTCGTTGCGCAGGGGAACGAGGCTGGCGGGCATAGCTGGGCCAGCGCGCCGAGTACTTCTGCACTTGTGGGGCATATCCTCGCTGCTCTGCCCGGCGAGGCAGGGAGGGGAAGACCATACGTCCTCGCTGCTGGCGGAGTGGGGGATGGGAAGCAGGTAGCGGCTTACCTTACCCTAGGAGCTGAGGGGGTCGTCGTTGGTACATTACTCGCAGCGGCAGAAGAAAGCCTTTTCCCCGAGGAGAACAAGGCTGCGCTCGTCGCTGCCCAATCTGGGGAAGAAGCCCTGCGCACCCAGTTGTGGGATAAGGTGCAGGGACGGCCTTGGCCAGAAGGGGTTACGGGGGGTGCGCTGAGGAATAAGTTGTTGGACGATGAGGGGGAGGGAGTGGGACTGGAGGAGTTGAGGCGGAGGACAAGGGAGGAGGAGGGGAGGAGGATCGTCTGGGCTGGACAGGGGGTTGGGGGGGTCAAGGCTGTGAGACCTGCTAAGGTGAGCTCAGGGCTGGGCATTTTGGTCGTTGGAAGAGACTGACGTTGTTGTAGGAGATTATTGACCAGCTGCAGAGGGAGACTGTGGTTGCGTTACAGAAAGTGGGGACGCTGCTGGAGGATGATCATGATTCGGAGGAACAAGCGAAATTGTAATAAACACTGACAATACTGCCCCTGCCTGATGTAACCCACAAAAGTAACGACGATTGTATGAATTCGAATCAAGTCCTTGTTATTATCCTCGTGTGAATGACATATCCCAACAATTAAAGATTGTTACATGTAATGAACATTCCTTCTCCCCGAAAGGGCACGTGCCCCGGCGCCTGGAGACCCCGCCGTCGCCTAATAACCCCTAGACCCGTTGTGCACATTTGCAACAGCGCTAGAACGCTAGAACGTTATCTACATCAACAGCTACAGGGCAGCTACAGTAGGAACTGGGAATCGTGTTTGCTGGCAGGTTTATCTTGCACTTTGTACTCTGAACCAGCAACAACGACAACGACAACGATATCTTTCTAACGAAATCGCTCCAGCAACAACCACATCCACACCTTCATCCACACCTTCATCAACAAACACACCCAAGCATGTCCCTCTGCGGGCTCAACAAAGGCAGCACCTCCTTCGGCCGCAAGCCCTTGCAGCGAAAACTCGTCGTGTTAGGTGACGGCGCCTGTGGGAAGACGAGTCTGTTGAACGTCTACACCAGGGGGTACTTTACGGCTATCTAGTGCGTCTGCCTCTTCTTTCCTCTGTGCCTTGGTTATATTATCTGCCTTTGGTTGGGTGAGGGTGGGCGGGCTGACACACGGGCAGCGAACCGACTGTGTTCGAGAACTACGTACATGATCTCGTTGTCGACGATACCCAAGTTGAGCTCTCCCTATGGGACACAGCAGGGCAAGAAGAGTTCGACCGACTGCGTTCTCTCTCCTATGCAGAGACACATCTCGTCCTTTTGTGTTTCTCGGTCGACAACCCCGCTAGTTTGGAGAATGTCGAGGGAAAGGTACGTCCGCTTTCCTCGCTGCTGGTTGTTGGAGCTGTGGGGAACAGGAGCGGGGGACTGATGATGGGAACAGTGGATTGAGGAAGTATTGGAGTACTGCCCAGGTGTGAAGGTATGTTTCCCCCCGTATTACAAGCGCACGTTCTAACAAGCCCTAGATCGTGCTAGTCGGTCAGTAACCGCCCTGTTCCCGAGCATACTCTCTGTCCGCTGAACGCTGAACTGAGCAGCACTCAAATGCGATTTGAGGGACGACCAGCCCACCCGGGACCGACTGGCTCTCCGCGGGCTGCAGCCTGTAGAATACGAGCAAGGACTGGTGGTCGCACGTCGAATACGCGCAAGTCGGTACCTTGGTGCGCCTGGTCTTCCCCTTATGCTTGCAGTGGAGAACTGGACTGACGTTGCGTAGAGTGCTCGGCGAAACATGGACGAGGGGTGAATGAGGTGTTTTACGAAGCTGCGAGAGTGAGCATCAGCACTGGTGCCAAGGGGAACACTGGGTGCGTGATCATGTAGCCGCACGGTTGTATGCCTGCTGTGATGCGACGCTGCGGTCTGCTCTTCGTCTTCGTCTTCGTCTTTACTCACGTTACGCACTACGCTTAATGATCCCCTGGATACTACACATGTATACTGGACACATATATACCTGGATATGCATACCCGGAACGAATGCTACGTCTCTTATCTTATAGTAGTGTACACTTCTATAAGGTATGAGTACAAGCCAAGGTGATATGAGAGACACGCACCGTAGCAGACGGAGAGCTCATTTCCCTTCCTCCCTCGCATGGTCCTCTTCCTCCCGATCCAGCAGCCGACTAACAGCCATAAACCTGCATCGCAGAACCCCAATCAGCCCCAAACCAGGAGCCCAAGAGGGAGAAGGAAGAGCACCCACTGGCTAGCATGCACCGCCCCCAGCTTACGCATATGCTCCAGCTGTCGCGTCACGTCCACAAAATGCTGCTGCGTGGATTGGAGATGCTGGGACATGGTCTGCAGCTTGTGCGAGAGATGGAGGTAGTGGCGTTCCTTGAGGGCGGCGGAGTTCATTGTTGTTGTTGGGTGAGGAGAGGTGGGAGGGTTGAGGGAACGCGTCGACGCGTCGTGGTGATGGATAGGAGCAGCTGATTTATAGACACGACTGGGAAAATGAAGTGCAAAGAATACAATCATAGTAATCGTTATTCAGCAATTCTACCCAACTCAGCGTAACATGTCTTGTAACTACAATCAATCTGTCTTCACCAGCGTCGTTCCCAGTCTAAGGCACTCCACCGTCTCCCTATGCAACTGCTCCACGACATCCTGCACACCTCGTCAATCACTAACTCTGCAGATCAATCAAAAACACACCTTTGCAGGTCGGATCTGCTTAATATACGCAGCAGGATATCCAGCCCAAACGATCTCCCTACTCCTATTCCCCTCCTTCGCATCCTCCTTAATCTTTTCCCTAATCTGGTCAATCCCCAGCCCAGCAGCATCGTCATCCCGCAACTGCTGGCATATCGCTCTCCCGTCTATGCCCTTAGGCCAGGGATACGTCTGCACCCGGTCCCAGAGGGTCGTTCGCACGGCATCGTCGTACCCTGCTTTGAGAATGACGTCTTTGGAGAAAGGGTCGTAGACGCTCTCCTCCGTCCCGGCGAACAGCGTGCCGACGACGACGCCTGACGCTCCGAGCGCGAGGTAAGACGCTATATGGGCACCTGAGGACACGCCCCCCGCTGCGAGGATGATAGGGCGTGGAGCGGGTAGAGCCGCCTGGACCTGGGTTAACAGCGTCGCGGTGGATGAAGCGGCTGCCCATGAATGCCCCCCTGCTTCGCTCCCTTGAGCAACGATGATGTCGACTTTCCATTCCTCGGCAGCGACCTTCATCTGCTGCACAGTCCCGAGCTGCACAGCAACAAGCGTCTTGCGTCCATCACCCCGCTCCTCGTCCGCCTCCCGGACGAACTGCACCCACTTGCCAATGTCCTCCCCGAAACTGAGCCAGACAGCCTTGACCCCCTGCATGATCGCCCATTTCAGCATCTCCTTCACCCCGATAGGAGCATCCAGCATCCACCCGATGACCCCGACGCCGATAGGCAGCACCTCTCCCTCCGGAGTACCGAGTCGTTCGCGGGCAAGAGCAAAGTCTGCTTGAAACCGCTCGATCCCGAAACGGAACTCGATCGCTAGGAATCCAAACCCGCCTGCGCGTGTCACTTCCGCTGCCAGCAGTCCGCCGGAGACGAATGTCATTGATGCGAGTGCGATTGGCGTCTTGAGGGAAAGGAGCCTCGTAAATTCGGTGTCGATGCGTGCCATGTTGTGTTGTTTGGAAAGAAGGTCTAGGGGGGAATGTTTGGCACTCTTGGGGTCACTAGTCAGCTAGGTTTTGTACCCAGGCCATTATGATGTCCTCGGCGACATTAACCAGCTCACAGCCGATCAAGGTATCAGTAATCAGTCCAGGTAAGGCGTTGAATCCACTCCGGTTGACAGTCAGTTCTCGTACATGACTGATCGGGCGCTCGGCCATCAAGGTGTTTGGGCGCTTGTCTTGTGTAAGCTGCCCTGCCACTCGGCCATCGGTTTCGGAAGAAGTTGAGTAAGCGTTCATATGCGGACTTGCCTTTTAGGCTTGGGTGACAGGATAACGGAGTATTGGGTTGTATTGACATTCGACGTTTGCAATGAAGTAGACAATGTTCACGAAGTTCCAAACCATGGTTAAGAGGTCAGCGCTTTACGGAGCCGTGTCGAAACAAATCATTCTAGTGGCGGTGCACTTCACGTGTTAGATTTGATTCCGCTCGAAATCTCAACCTGCCTATTCTTGTTCTCGCACTCCAGTCATCGACTCTAATTCACGCACACAACTCTAGCAAACATGGTCAGTTTTCTGCACCGTTATACAATCACCCCCCAGTACTGATGGCACCTTCTGTTCTAGCCTCCTCCTAAAGCAAAGGGCGGCAAAATGCTCGCCTTGATCAACTACCGGCTTCGTGTGACTCTGAACGACGGGCGCGAGCTGACAGGACAAATGCTCGCCTTCGACAGGCACATGAACCTCGTCCTAGCAGACTGTGAGGAGTTCCGCAAGACGCGTTCAAAAACAAAGGGGGAGAGTGATGGTCCTGCGGCCGTTTCGATGGCACAGGAAATTAAGAGGACCCTCGGGCTTGTCATTTTGCGTGGCGAGACTATCGTCAGTATCAGCGTGGAGGGCCCGCCACCTACGTCGGATGAAGATAAGATGAAGAGTCAGGTACGCTTTCAGCCTCTGTGTGCGTACGGTGTGATGTACTGAAAGTTGTTCGTAGCTTGCCCCCGGTCCTGGTCGGGGTATGCCCGCAGGTCGTGGCATGGGCATGAGTACGTGCACCAAATTCATTCCTCTGTTTTTCTGTCTTATCAGTCTTGCAGTGGGTTTCCCTCCGCCTCCTTTTGCCGCTGGCCGTGGTATGCCTTTCCCTGGCCCTCCTGGCGCAGGTGCCCCTCCCGGATTCCCTCCTGGCTTCCCCGGAGGTGGGCCGCCACAGGGATTCCCTGGCGGTCCTCCAGGTGGCCCATTCCCCCCTGGTATGCCGTTCCGTCCCCCTGGGTAAGTCTTTCTCCCTCGGTCTTCGAACCAGGTGTTTCTGACAATTATCTCCTTAGTTTCCCCGGCGCGTCATGAGTGTTGTCTGCTGCCCCTCAGGTTTCGCGTCTCTACAGATGACTGCACTTGTCGAGCGAGATCCAGAGATCATGTTTTCCTCAAAATTGTATCGTCTATGTGTATGCCTTGTACATATGACGATTGTGTTAATATGACGGGCGTTTTCCATAATCCATGCCTGTCTTCGACCGAAACTTTCACATCTGACTTCAATGCTCACATATTTGGAATGGTGCTCTGATTATAACGTGCTGAGTTTGTACCAATATGCTGTCGTACAGATCGATCGTACAAGTGAGAATAGACTTGAGAGAACTGAAACAAAGTTCAGGTCGTCACAATTGTCGGAGAAATTTGCGGAGGCGAGAGAGCTTCCGTCGCCGTGCACCGCAATCCGCTGCCGCGCGATTTCGAGGCCTCATCGTCCACGACAGCTTCAGCGTCGTCCTCCCCCGCGTCCATAACGACCTCTTTCCTTCTTTCCCAATATACCAAAACACCTACGCACTACCACTGAACTCGCAATCATGGCGAATGCGCCGCGACCTATCGCGTTCAGCGAGCACCTCCAGCTCAGCGCGCTGGGCATCCAGCCGTCTAGCATCTCCTTCCAGGTGCATATACCCGCTTCACAACCGTTAAGCGCCTCACTGACGATTCTTGACGCGGCTGTAGAACTTGACAATGGAGAGTGACCATTTTATTTGCGTACGAGAGACCGTTGGAGAACAGAACCAAGTCGTCATAATCGACCTGTACGATGCGAATAATGTTATGCGACGCCCAATCACGGCCGATTCGGCCATTATGCATCCAAGCCAGAAAATCATCGCGCTAAAAGGTGAGCGAGCTGAAAATTTGGGATATCGATCTCGGCACTCTGCATCCTAGAACGTGGACTGATGCTGGGACAGCTGCGCGACAACTCCAAGTCTTCAATATCGAGACGAAGCAAAAAGTGAAGGCCCACGTCATGCACGAAGATGTCGTCTTCTGGGTATGGATCTCACCGACCATGATCGGTCTCGTGACGGAGACCACTGTGTACCACTGGTCTACTGCCGACGCTACATCGCCTCCCCAGAAGGTCTTTGACCGGCATGCCACCCTCGCCGGCGCGCAGATCATCAACTACCGCGTATCAGCGGACGAAAAATGGGTCGTGCTCGTCGGTATTGCTGGAAACAGCAATAACCCGGCTGCGTTCCGTGTGAAGGGCGCCATGCAGCTATACAATCGTGACCGCAATGTTAGCCAGCCTATCGAGGGTCACGCAGCGTCGTTCGCCGAAATCAAGCTTGATGGCAACAGCACTCCTACGAAGCTGTTCACCTTCTCCGTCAGGACAGCTGCTGGTGCAAAGGTACCTCATTTATTGCTCTTAATTTTTTGATCGCTCATTCGAGTCACAGCTTCACATCGTTGAAATCGACCACCAAGCTCCGAACACCCCGTTCCAAAAGAAGGCCGTCGATGTATTCTTCCCGCCGGAGGCCGTGCACGATTTCCCCGTCGCCATGCAAGTCTCTCAGCGATACGGCATCATTTATCTTGTCACAAAATACGGCTTTATCCACCTCTACGACCTCGAGACAGCTGCTTGCGTGTACATGAATCGCATTTCCGGCGAGACTATCTTTGTCACTGCGGAGCATGAAGCCACCAACGGTATCATCGGTGTGAACAGGAAGGGGCAGGTATTGAGCGTTACTGTGGACGAGAACACCGTTATTCCGTATATTCTCAGCACCCTCAACAACACCGAACTTGCTTTCAAGATGGCAAGCCGCGCTAACCTACCGGGTGCCGATGATTTGTACCGCCAACAGTATCAACACCTTTTCCAGACTGGCCAGTTCGGTGAGGCTGCTAAAATCGCTGCCAATTCACCAGGGGTGAGTTGGAATATTCAAGCGTTTAGTCCCTGGTCTGACCTGCTCTCAGGGCATGCTCCGCACTCCTCAGACCATCGAGCAGTTCAAGGCTGTTCCTGCTCAAGCAGGGACGCTCAGCCCCATCCTCCAGTACTTCGGTATCCTGCTGGAGAAGGGTGAGCTCAATAAGTTCGAATCCATCGAGCTTGCTCGCCCCGTACTTCAGCAGGGTCGCAAGCAGCTCTTGGAAAAGTGGCTCAAGGAGAACAAACTCGAGTGCAGCGAGGAGCTTGGAGATCTAGTCCGTCTCACCGACATGACCCTGGCTCTGTCAGTGTACCTCCGGGCCAACGTCCCCAACAAGGTCATTGCTTGCTTTGCCGAGACCGGCCAGTTCGACAAGATTGTCCTCTATGCGAAGAAAGTTGGCTACTCACCTGATTATGCTAGCTTGCTGCAGCACGTCATGCGCACGAACCCCGAAAAGGGCGCGGAGTTTGCGGGCCAGTTGGTGAATGACGAGAACGGGCCTTTGGTCGATGTTGAGCGGGTGCGTCCTGAATATTTAATTCCAAGAAATTGTGCAGCATGCTGATACGTCCCCAGGTTGTCGATATCTTCATGTCCCAGAACATGATCCAGCCTGCCACGTCTTTCCTCTTGGATGCCCTCAAGGACGACAAGCCCGAGCAGGGTCACCTGCAGACACGCCTGCTCGAGATGAACCTGTTGAACGCTCCTCAGGTCGCCGACGCTATCCTCGGAAACGACATGTTCCACCACTACGATAAACCGCGTATCGCTAATCTCTGTGAGAAGGCTGGCCTTCTACAGCGTGCTTTGGATCTGTACGAAGATCTCGCGGACATCAAGCGTGTCATCGTGCACACGAACGTCATCCCAGCAGACTGGCTCGTCGCTTACTTCGGCAAGCTTACCGTGGACCAATCCATCGCCTGCCTGCAGGAGATGCTTCGTGTCAACATTCGCCAGAACCTCCCGGTTGCAGTTCAGATCGCGACTAAGTATTCTGATCTTCTCGGCCCCATCAAGCTTGTTGAACTGTTCGAGTCTTACAAAAGCTTCGAGGGTCTCTACTACTACCTGGGGTCTATCGTCAACCTCAGCCAGGACTCGGAGATCGTCTTCAAGTACATTCAAGCCGCCACTCGCACTGGCCAAATTCGCGAGGTCGAGCGTGTGTGCCGTGAGAGCAACTTCTACAATCCGGAGAAGGTCAAGAACTTCCTCAAGGAGGCGAAGCTAACCGATCAGCTTCCGCTCATCATCGTCTGCGATCGTTTCGACTTTGTGCATGACCTGGTTTTGTACCTGTATCAGAATGGGCAGACCAAGGCCATCGAGACGTACGTACAACGTGTCAACTCGGCTCGCACACCCCAGGTTATTGGTGCTTTGCTTGATGTCGACTGTGACGAGACTGTGATCAAAAGCTTGCTTGCTTCCGTTCCTGGCAACTTCCCCATCGATGAACTCGTGGAGGAGGTCGAGAAGAGGAACCGTCTCAAGCTGATCCTTCCTTGGCTCGAGGCTCGCATCCAAGGTGGCACCCAAGAGCCGGCGGTATACAATGCTATTGCCAAGATTTATATCGATAGCAACAGCAACCCAAAGGCGTTCCTTACGGAGAATAACGTAAGTAGCTCGATATTTCCACTGCATCATCTCACCCGAATTTTCAGATTTATGATCCTCGTATTGTCGGCAAGTACTGTGAAAAGCGCGATCCCTACCTTGCATACATTGCATACGCGAAGGGTTTCTGCGATGAGGAGCTTATTGCCATCACGAACGAGAACGCCATGTTCAGGGACCAGGCTCGCTACCTTGTCAAGCGCCGTCAACCAGAACTCTGGGCTCAAGTACTCTCGCCTGACAACATTCATCGCCGCCAGCTTATCGACCAGATCACCGCTACCGCTATTCCGGAGTGCACGGACGCGGAGGATGTATCCGTGACTGTCAAGGCGTTCATGTCGGCTGACCTCCCCATCGAGCTCATTGAGCTTCTCGAGAAGATCATCATTGAGCCTTCGCCATTCAGCGATAATAAAACTCTGCAGAACTTGCTCATGCTGATGGCTATTCGCGCTGACAAGGGGAAGGTTATCGGTTTCATCAACAAGTTGGATGGCTATGACACCGAGGAGATTCCCCGCCTTGCAATTCAGCATGGTTTGTACGAGGAGGCCCTCACGATCTACAGGAAGTACAATCAGCACGAGCTCGCCATGAGTGTCCTTGTGGAGCACATCGTCAGCCTTGACCGCGGTGTCGAATTTGCGGTGAAGGTCAATGAGCCCAAGGTCTGGAGCCGCCTTGCTAAGGCACAATTGGATGGCCTTCGCATCAAGGATGCGATCGATTCATACATCAAGGCCAATGATCCGTCGAACTTTGCCGAAGTCATTGAAATTGCTAACCGTGCTGGCAAGCAGGACGATCTTGTGCGCTTCCTCCAGATGGCTCGCAAGACCCTACGAGAGCCTATGATCGATACCGAGCTCGCCTACGCATACGCCAAAACCGACCGTCTTCACGATATGGAAGAGTTCCTGGGCATGACCAACGTGGCTGATATCCTGCAAGTCGGCGAGAAGTGCTTCGAAGACGAGCTGTACCAAGCTGCCAAGCTGCTCTTCTCCAGCATCTCTAATTGGGCGCGTCTTGCCACCACTCTTATTTATCTTGGTGAAAACCAGGCGGCTGTTGAGAGTGCGCGCAAAGCTGGTAACACACAAGTCTGGAAGCAGGTGCATGCTGCTTGTATCGAGAAGGCAGAGTTCCGTCTGGCGCAGATTTGCGGTCTCAACATAATCGTTCATGCCGAAGAGCTTCCGGGTATTCTTAAGACGTACGAACGCCGCGGTCATTTCGACGAGGTCATCAGCTTGCTCGAGGCTGGGTTGAGTCTTGAGCGCGCTCATATGGGTATCTTCACGGAACTTGGCATTTTGTACAGCAAGTATCGGCCGGAGAAGCTCATGGAGCACTTGAAGCTCTTCGTCTCCCGTATCAACATTCCAAAGGTTATTCGTGCTGCGGAAAAGGCACATCTCTGGCCCGAGCTCGTCTTCTTGTATGTTAAGTACGACGAGTACGATAATGCTGCTCTGGCTATGATGGAGCGTTCGGCGGATGCATGGGATCACAATCAGTTCAAGGAAATCATTGTCAAGGCAGCCAACGTCGAGATCTACTACAAGGCACTTACCTTTTACCTCAACGAGCAGCCTATGCTCCTGACAGATCTTCTGACGGTCCTCTCACCCCGTATCGATCACGCTCGTGTCGTCCGCATGTTCCGTCACAAGGATAATGACAACGTCCCTATCATCCGACCGTATCTGGTTGCTGTGCAGCACGTAAGTAGTATAAATCACTCAACCGTAATTTTGCTCCTAACTGAAAGAAATAGCTCAACATTGAAGCTGTGAATGATGCATACAATGATCTGTTGATTGAGGAAGAGGATTACAAGGTCCTGCGCGACTCCATCGATAGTTTCGACAATTTCAATAACATCGATCTGGCATCACGGCTAGAAAAGCACGATCTTCTTGAATTCCGTCGCCTGGCCGCTCATCTCTACAAGAAGAACAAGCGATGGGAGGATTCGATCACCCTGTCGAAGCAGGACAAGCTGTTCAAAGATGCTATGGTGACTGCCGCCGTCTCTGGCTTAACAGAGGTCGCTGAAGACCTGCTGTCCTACTTCGTCGACATTGGCAATAAGGAATGCTTCAGCTCGATGCTCTACATCTGCTTCGATCTCCTACGATCCGATGTGGTTATGGAGCTATCATGGCAGCACGGGCTGAACGATTTCTATATGCCATACCAGATACAATCACAGAGGCAGCTCGTCGCCAAGGTGCAGAAGTTGGAGAAGGATGTTGCCGAGCGTATGGCGAAGGACACCCAAAAGGAGCAACAAGAAGCGGATGCTCCCATCATTGCACCTGGTCTGGGCCAGACTTTGATGATTACCCAAGGGACTGGGTATGTCTTGTCCTGTAACTCGTGTAGTCCACGGTCAACTAATGTTTTTTACAGCATGCCTACCTCTTTGCCGGTATACGGTATGAAGGGCATGAACGGCGCAATACCACAGCAAGCGACCGGGTTCGGCGGGTTCTGAGCTCTTTATAGTTTCTCTTGTCGTTTTCGTCTTGAAATATGAGCTGTCTCGCGCTGCTCGGCCCATGTAAATATACCTACACGCGTGCTTGTAATGACCATTCCTTATCACTCTATTTAAAGAAATTCCGGGGTGTCGGTTTGCGCGAGGGCGAAAAGTTGAACATGTAGCCAGGGTCATCATTTCGACGATGATTCAACTGGTCCGGTATGCAAAAGTGTGGAACTCGATCGATTCGTCAGTTCCACGGCACTTTCGTCAGCACCTTTACGCATTCCGCTTTTGTTCCAGTCAGGAGAAACATGAATACTGTCTGATATGTACTGTCAAAGCGTACAAGGCAATCGTGTCTCAACTCTATCCAGTCACAATCAAGGATGGGACAGACCAGTGCGCCTTCTCGCGAATACACCTTGGATAACAACGTTGACGATCGCATACAGAGCAACTTACTTACTGTCCTTACTGTCTAAATGTCAAATCTACCGGAAGAGCCGCCGGTCCTCGTTCGACCATCCCGAAGCTCTGTCAACTGGGGAGCTGACGCCGTTCGTACCTTCCACCGAGACGCACCTTTGAACGGAGACGGTGCAGCCTATACACCTGGAACCGAAAGCACCGAAGACATAGCTGACCAGATCGAGGACGAGGACGAAGACAACCAACACGAACACCCCACGCTGCCGACTCCCGGTCTTGCCTACAATGGTAACCCGCGGGAGGCCACTTCGCCTGAAGCTTCTCCCTTAGAGGAGAAGGGCTCTGGTGGTGATGGCTATCCATTCCCGAGTCAACAAGGCGCTCGTTCTCAGAAACGTGGACCACGCGTCTCTCAAATGCCTGCGTTCCCTCCACCCGCAACCGCAGCGCCGTCCGCTGCTCGATCAAGTGCAGTTAGAACGAGTCGCATCGCTCAGCCTCCCCCGTACGCGCCCCCTCAACGTGCGAAGCCCGCTCCTGCGGCACGAAGCTACAGCACGGCTGAGGATGGTGGGCGTGCTTCGACATTGGAGGGAACAAATGGTAGCATGCTGTATTCCCTTATGCAGCTATCAGCGCTGCGGCGACGCAGCTTTGCGGCAGCACCGTCTGTCGCATCGACAGCCGCACCAAGTCGAGCCGGCTCGAGCTCATTCGATGATCTTCCGACCTTCAACTCTCTTGGTATGCAGCGCAGATCTTCGAACCGTTCCATTGGCACAATCGGTGATACTGAAGGGCTGGACGAAGATCATCCAGCGGTCACAGGTGTGAAAGCCGTGCGCGACAAAGCTGCTCTTCAGGAGATGGAAATCAGGCAGGAGCTCAAGGAATGTGAGGACGACATGAGCGAAACAGTGCAGAGAAAGCTTCAACGAAAGATGATCCAATATCACATGTCCTGTGAGCTCATACCCCGCATATATGATCTTAAAACAAACTTCTCACACTTCGACAGCCGTTAGAGCGCGGCAAACCTTCATGCAGAAGCTTGCCAAGGCACTGATATCCTTCGGATTTCCGCCTCATCGCCTGGAGCCGACACTGGACGCGGTCGCAACATACCTCCATCTTGACGCGACGACCTCGTTCTCTGCGAGACGTGTGCAAATTGTCTACGAAGACAAGAAGACCGGGACATCACTGACCAGAGTGATTCGTGCGGCCCCAGCGCTGGCGCTTGGAAAGCTTCACGATATTCATATGATCTATCGTGCCGTCATGCACGACGAAATCAGTATTGACGACGGATCGCGCCGACTGGACGAGATTATTCGTGCACCTGATCCGTATCCACTATGGGGCAAGGTTCTTATTGTCTGGGGTTGCGGGTTGTTTATCTGCCCTGCATTCGGCGGCAGCGTCCTTGATGCGCTCGTGGTAAGCGTTCCTGGAGCTCTCATTTTCTTGGTGCAGCAGTACATTGCTTCAAAGAATAGCAACCTGAAGAGTATCTCGAAGTGAGTTCACGCTGCCCTACACTACCCAACTTTGCTGATTATCCACAGCATGCTCGCAGCCATCATCGGCGCTTTCTATGCACGCGGTCTCGCGAGCACCGGCTATTTCTGTTTCGAGGCCATCGCATCTGCCTCCATTGTGTTCATTCTTCCCGCCTTCCCGGCTCTGTGCGGTGCCCTCGAGCTCTTGAACGAGAACTGGGAGCGCGCTGTGGCCTCGATTGGATATGCCGTTCTCTACGTGGTCGTCCTTGGTATGGGTCTGTCGATCGGATCCCAGCTTTTCTGTGACATTGCCAACTATACCCCATCGAATACGGGAACGGAAACCATCACTGGAATGTTCGTCGCCGGAAGTCAAACTGCGCCCCTGTTCCAAGGGTCATTCACATTCACGAACCAGACTTCCAGCATCAGCTCCCTTGCTCAAGGCAATGTGAATTGTCTATCCGATCCGTCATGGCCGTGGTGGCGCCAAAGCATCTCCCAGTACTCATGGACTTGGATTCTCTACATCCCTTGCTTTGCGCTCCTGCTTAGCATGCTCAACGGTCAGCCTTTCATGAAGAAACAGACCTTGCTCATGGTCATCATCGCCGTGATTGGACAAGCGGCCAATCAAGCGGCCAATCGATGGCTTCTCGGTCAAACCTATGTCGTCAATGTAGTTGGGCCATTTACACTCGGCATTGCGGGCATTGTCGCGTCCCGTCTCAGTCACGGCAGGCAGACCGCTTTGACGCTCATGCTTCCCGGCGTGCTCGTCTCCGTTCCGGGTGGCATTGCCGCGGCTGGTGGGCTGGCCATGACTGAAGGTGGAACTAGTGATGTTGCAATCAATGCCCTCGGTATCGGCGGAAGGATGATTTCTGTGGCGACTGGTATTTCTCTTGGACTGGTTCTGTCGGCCGCGGTCGGATATGTCGCTCAGTTGCACAAGAAGAGGACGGCCATATTCGCTTTCTGATTATCTGTTATCAGCGATGCTACGATGCCATCACACTCATTTTTTCCGACTTCCTTATCCTTACCAATATGATTATTTATTAGATACAATGTAGGTAGTGTGCCGCACAAAACAAACTATTGTTGACAATGAGCAAACCACATATACCGTGGTCTCCGCGGCTAAACAATCGGAAGCAATCGGTGTTACGAACAGCCCCAACGCCGACACGCACAGACCCCTTGCTTCCGCCACTTTGTGGTTAGTGTCGCTCAACTCAGTCCTCGACACCACACCACTTCCCTTTGGATAACACCACACAACCGTCATATGGTCAAGAAGTATGGCAGACCTTCAGGTAACGTGGTTTAGAAAGAGGTACCATGAAGACTCTGCTGATGCTCGATGTGTTGTTCAGGAATTTGAGAAGGTTTTGAAGGATGTCGTCAATGCGAAGCGGTTATCAGCCTCAAGGATCAACACATTGACGGAGTTGTGCCTGAAGTTAATCGAGGTGCGCCTGACTATCCTTTCCTGTTCATTCTTCATGCTGACTGTTCCTTAGAATGATGTTCAGCTTGTGTCTCTCCTGTATCGGACGCACAAGAGCCTTCCATCTAGTCAGAAAGTTTTCAGCTTGTACGCATTCGATGCCCTCGCGCGTGCTGCTCGCCATGCTGTGGTGAAAAACAAAATTACCGTGGATCCCATGGGTACGAAAGGGAATTGTGCTACCTTCCTCAACAAAGTGGAAGGAGTGTTGGATAGCCTTATCAGCGACATGCTCAGTTCGGGTGGGAAGGAACAGAGGGTAAGTCTCCCATCCCATGATCTCGTTGCTGATCACATTACGGAACCTCTGGAACGATTTGCATCGCCTTGTGCTATTCACAACCATTTTGAGCGCTTGCAGCATGTCTAGGTCGTACGCGACCCGACTGCCACAGGCAGCGTATATATTTCCACATGGTGGCGTGCCTAAATGGTCCACGCGAATATACTTTGCCGTCTCACGTTTTACCTCACGGTTCAAACGTATCGACCGTATTACATCTGCGCGTGTCGGACCCTTGCAGATCGATCGCACGACAACTTAGCACGCATCCTCTTTTCTGGGTCTTATCGACGCCGAGATTCTGACTGCTCCCGCCCTCGTGGCGTTTGGATTATAGGAAAAGACGAAGAAGATCGTTGACATTTGGACATCGAATAACACATTCTCAAAAGAGGTCTTAATCGGGCTGTCCGCCAAAGTCAAAGCGGCAGAAGACAAAGGTACATATCAATGTCATTATTGTTGGTTGAGTCCCGCTGTGCGAGCATTTTGCCGCATTTGCATCTCCCGAGAAAGAGTGTGAACTGAGCCGACTTCCCCCTGTGTAGCCACAGCCCGTGCAAGCATCGTTCCTCAGAGCACGACTCCGCCGGGTGCACCAGTAGCAAATGCTGCCCAAGCAGCTGGTGTGCAACAAGCACTCTTGGCACTCCTTAGTCAAGCAGCAGCAGCCAAGAGTTCAACACCACCAGCAACCACGTGAGTGCCAAATATAACTCGAAGCGCGGATGAGATGACGAATGCTATTATGAATAGTTCGGCTGTAGTTCCTCCACCCGCAGCACCTACCCCAGGACTTGTTATAGATGCCCAACGTCTTCTTCAACAATTAGCTGGACAGGTTCAAAATCAAACACAGCTTGTCATGCCTACGGTTCCTGCTGTTATGCCTTCTGCTGTACCTGCAGCGCCCTCTCCGCCTCCCAAGCCTTTGCCAATTTATGCACCTAATCTACCTCCCCCACCCGACCAAATGGCGGCGCAGCGTGCGCTAGCTGTCCCTCAGATGTCCCTTACCACGGATAACAGCCGATTTGATAGTCGTCCTGGTGGTTCCCGACCGCCTCAGTGGGGTGATGCGCGTGAGAGATCACCGCCACCTAGAGACGAAAGGGACAACGGTCGCCGGGATGATTATGGGGAAGACAATAGAGGTCGCGGCCGCGGTAGGGGCAGGGGATCTGATAGAAATGGCTGGGATAGACGTGGTGGACGCGGGCGAGATCGCTCGCCGCCTTATGGTGGTCGAGAAAGGTCTCGCAGTCCGCCTTACCGAGGTCCTGTTAACAATCGGTTTGATGACCGTCGTCCTCCACCGGTGAACGATGGACGTATTCCCCGGAGGGACAGTCCCGTACGAAATCGTTCACCCCCACATTACCGCTCACCGCCGCCCCGCGACACTGGCTTGATGGCGCAGTCAATGGCACGCAAGGACGAGTTTGGACGTGACACACGACCTGGTGATGACAGGACATTGAACAATGCTTCCGAGGGAGCACAACTACCGCGGAGCGAATTCAATCCCGTCGGTTCGAAGATCACTTCAACTTCTTCACCACCTTCTTCCTCATCAGTTGCCCCCATCCCTACCGTTCTTGATGTTCCCAACCGGATTGGTCTCGATAAATTCGATTGGTCGACGTTCAATTTCGGTTCACCAGAGTCGTGGGACGCACTTGGCAAGGCATTCCAAGTCACGAATGGTCACTTACCATCCCAAGAAGAAGTTATGACCATCGTCATGCAAAGCCAAATGGGTGGAATGATGGGGAATATGATGGGGATGCAGACCGGAGGAGCAACAGGACCTGGAAACGACGAGTTCAGTAATACGGCCACCAATGGCCAGAGCTGGCAAAATGGTGACAACGAAGGCTATCGAGGCGGAGGACGAGGTGGTCGTGGTAGAGGCCGTGGTAGAGGGGGACGTGGTGGGTACGGATATGGACGTGGAGGCGGAAGCGGCGATAACGCTGAGTACGGTGGCTATCAAGGACACCAAGCGTCTTTCGATTCCAACTACGGTGGCGGTTGGGGAAATGGGGCACAGAAGTGGAATAACGGTGATCAGGCTTGGGCGGGAGACGACGAATCCAATGGCTACGTCATCCAACCGTCGGCCCCCGTTACCGTGTCGAACCAGACTGATGAGGACACATCTCCGTTGATGAAAAAGCAGGGCGGGCAGATGGTCAAGATCGGCGATCGCTGGCAATGGGTCCCCGGGAGCTAGCAGTCGGAAAGGTTTTAATGTGAGATTCCATGACTAGCAGATCTATTAGTATCGAGGCAGATTCAGATGTAATTCATACGACTTCAAACGCAGGATCCTCCGATTTGGTCATTACATATCCAGTTCAATACACAAGCTTAGGCGGGCCGTGCTTCTCGCCGAAGGGTTGCTGCTTTATATTGAGTATGGGCGAATATGAATCCAGCGACGATATTTTCTAGATATAGCGCCGTCTCATCTTGTAGCCCCCACGGGGGAGATGACTTCAAATCTGCCCGGTATTGTAGGTAGGATGCACGACAATGCATTGAATATGCTGACTGCATTTGATTGAAAACTGCCAGTGATGCAAATGCTCGAGACAAAAACGCAGCATTCTGGATCGATATCAGAACTGATTCTCTCAAGGATAACTCCTATCACATGTTACTTTGAATCCATCAACATACGTATCAAATCAGCAACATCATTGATTCTTCTTTTCCCGTCTGCTCCTGTCCCATTCTATCTTCCATACTCCCCATTCTGCGTCGGTCCCACCATCGGGCCATACGGCCCAGCTGTCTCTTATCCGGAATCGTGAGGCGACATCAGACTCAAGAAACCATGTTCTCCATTGACCAAGTAAGGATGATGGGTAGAACACAGGGATAGCCTCGACGAGGAGATACCAACCTGCGCCGATCGCGATGCCAATAGTCGCACCGACGACGACTTGGGATACTGTGTGATAGGTGAGATGAAATCTAGAGACAAACACTTGAGAAATATTCTCATAGATTCAATGAAAGCAATTACCGTGAATAGCATACTGCGGCTCCCCATATCGGTACGCCGATATAGAGGATCATTTTCCTGACTTTGGATAATGGATCCTGCAATCGCTCCATGGATGTTTCCCGAAACCACAAATGCAGAAGGAAGAAGGTCACAAAATAGCCCATGAATTGGCTGTGAGATGACGGGAATCCATATCCCGTGCCAACATAATCTGAGCGCATATATGTAAGCATCGCATGCATTCCACGTGTGAAACATACCTATTGGTCGTTCTCTTTTGAACATTCGCTTGAGCATCCAGCTAAACGCTTCACAGCCCAGCTGTCCAGCAAACATGGTCGATATTAACAGTTCTCGTCTCAGGAGAACCACGATCGTGTACATAGAAACGAGAATCATCGGACTGAGCGCGAGCAGAGCGAATATCCGTCCCACAGGATCATCAGGGTCATCTGAACAGACTAGTCAGAAAGTGAGATTCGTCGCTAGTACCACTACTTGCAGAGAATATGAGTCAAGCTCAAGGATTCCAGAGCAGCTTGCTGATGTTGACCTGCCATTCTTGAGAGCCCGTAACGCCGTACAAAACCAACCAAGGAACACACGGGGTGAACTCAATTTGACCAAGTACTCGCGACGTAACCTAATTCAAGCTCCGACACGCGGCTCGAAGGCTCGGAGAAACTCTCATCTCCGAGGTCTCTGCGCCTGTTTGTGCTTGCCCGCATCTTGTTTGCACCTTCTTCGTGCACTACATTCATACCTGAAGCTATGCGTCTTTTTACAGGAGCGGGTATTTGCCCCTCTCCCACCGCCTGAGACTACTATTTACCGGACCCAGCTTGCTTCACAGGCTCTGTACCTGCTCATGCGGTCTTGCTTTGGCGTAACACAACCTGCCCTTCTTGGAACATCGCTTATCAACTACTTAGAGAACGGCGGAGGCGAGCTCGGTGATGAACGACATGCGGACTATATCTTCTGTGGTAGGCTAAACGACCCTGCACTAGCAAGGTGCGCGTTAACCTGATTGGGAGGACGGCTTACCTGGATATATGCGCGTTTTGATAGGCTGGATCATACCGCTCCTACTGTTTGTTCACCTTATGTGCTCCTATCAACTCGCGATTGATGCTATTCAGGCGATCTACCACTGGAGATGGATCGAGGACGCTATCTTGATGGGAGGACCCCAGCCATCCTTGGCAAAGTACGTCCTTCATGGTCAGTCGACCCGATTAAAGACACAACTCTGGCGAAATTCTCAGTGGCTGACTTGGGAAAGCGCGGGAGGGAAAGCAGATGATGGTTCACCCGCATACCTCCAATATCTTTCAGGAGACAGACAGTAGAGCCGATTCTCTGTCGCAAACTGGTGCTCGCTCGGCTGGGAATCGAAACGACTGCTCGATGGATGTTGCTCTATCAGATGCCGAAATTGAGGAAGCTCTCTGCGACATCGCAGACGATATTCCCTCATCTCCAACGGTTCTATCTGACGAGGAGCAGGCGTATAAATGCGATGTTTTTCCTGACAGCCTCAGTCCTGCAAGTTCTCGCGAAGCTTCGATACTCTGTGATACTGAAAGTACCCCTTATTCGCACGACAATTCAGTGGACTGTCGAGGCCCCGTCTGTTCTACAGAGTGTGATATAGTTCCCGATACATTTTTGCAAGAGGCATCGGCCACAGCCGAGCTGGAGATAACGCAAGTCTTCAAGTACATCTCCCATCCGTATAATCCAAGCCCGTTTCAGAGTAGTCTAACACTTGAGAACAGGCCCCAGGATACTTTAACCCTGTCAATCGAGAGCCTTTTGCGAAATATAGCTTTACGAACCCAACCTCCGATCTTGGTGAAGTTCGTAAAAGGAGGAGAATATGTTGGCCAACAATTCGGTGCAATTCGTCGCGTCTAGGTGCAAGAGAAAGAAAATGGAACATGCATGACTCGATTGTTTGTGTGTATTATCATCGTCATTGCGCAGGTCTGAAATGAAAGCTGGTACTGCCTGAACGACCGAGAGCTCCTCCGACCAAGAGGACCTGGCAACGCCAGATATGCTCTGAAACCCCCCGCCCAATGACCCACTTCCACCCCCAACGCCATGGAAACATCGGATTCCCTAGCACATCTGACTATCACGGCGAGCTCTTCCCTTCCAGGCTCCAGCGACCGGGGAAGCTACGGCGGAGCGAGGATCCGTCTTCTGTCCGCCAGGGTAGTGGTGAAGATACAGCAACTCAGAAATGAGGAGACCGGCGGGAGAAGTGGGTAAGATGCTTTTGTGGGCGGTGCGTGGGAGTGGAACAGCTTCTGAGCTGGTAATTGGTGTCAGAAATCGAGGCGTCGCAGGAAGCAGCAACGACGTACCCAGGAACCCTCTTGCTTCCTCTGTCGGATCAGAGGATTTGTGCCATCTGCCCGCAGCAGTCCGGTCAGATCTGAGATTAATATGTCGGTTCCATGTGATGTCGAGATGATGTATCATTGTGCATGTCGTCCTGTGTCATCAATGCCTATGCATTAGTCCAGCTGGCCTGATACTACGGGTCAGACATCTCACCAGTGTATAAGTGATGAATCAACTGAGCTCACTAGTCCAGCAAGGGTTACATTCTCTTCAAAAGCAGGAAAGTGTGTCTGATGCAACCCCGAGAGGCGGTGAGACATCATCAGAACTCCCCACTTTCACAGAAGCCACAGAAGCCAGGAATATTCCTGAGACAGTGGAAATGAGGGAGATTGTAAGCGATATGCATGGAGATTTGTCAGGCCAATAGGCCGCATATCCCCCCGCACAGGATATCAGTAGCAAGAATAAAGTACTGAGTTGTGGTCTTTCGCTTCTTGTGCCTGTGTCGCGTGTTCCTCGGATCAGGCAGTGCTAACATCTTGACTCAGGCAGTGCATTCAAGATGCTGCCCTGTTTAGATGAGGGGAATATAGAGTATCTAGGACGAGCAGGCCAATCAGTATACGATCGTGAGCCAATCTCACAGTTGTAGAGCAGTGAAGGATCCCCAGGCCAACGGGAGCAGGAGGGGAGCTCGGAGCAGGATCGTCGCGGCCTCGTGATCTTGCAGCTCTGACGCTGTCTGTTAAGCCGGACGAAGGACGCCTGGAGCGCCCGCACACGTGAGCGCAACAACGAGCAGGTGCGGGAAGGAACTGGAGGCATGACGCAAGGGCGGTGACAACGAGCAGAAGTGTTGAGTTCGCCGCTGCTGTCAGCGACGGCGGCCAGGGAGGGAAGAAGTTGTCAGAGTACGTCCTATTCTGGCAAGAAATGACAAAGGCCAACATATGATGTTAGAGGTTGGTGTTGCGTCTGTTGTGCCATTTGGGGTCAATAACAAAACTGAACGCGTTGTACACGATCATCTATAGGCAAAATTTGTAAGGTCAGGAGGTGTTTGCTTCAGCGTCAGGGCGCTATGGAGAGGACAAAGGTCGCCTAGAGTGACATGCCGCACGGTGCCGCTGTTTTCCACGTGAGAGAAGTATTGCCTTCGTATACAGCAGGTGATGAAACACCAAATGTTGACATTCCGTTGTGAGAACCCTGGAAGAGGAGAGAATACCGTCGTCGAGGAGTTTCGTTGTCAACTTCTCAAGGACAATATACAGTGCACTGCCAACGTTGTACAGAACGGCGGCGAGCGGTGCATCGCATTTCAACCCATGAGGTCCTTGTCCTTCTTTCACATCTGAAAGATTTGTGTTCTTTCCAAGGTGGCCGGTGGCAAGAGAGAGCAAGACTGGCTGAGCACTGCACACGTGCACATCAACATCATCCCTTACAACAGGCAAGGCCACTGCGCCGCTCTTCTCTCTCCACTCACCTCTTTCCAGTACATATATCTCGCCATCCTCCGTACATCCCCCCCCATCGTCTACATCGCCCTCGCAGTTGAGCGCATACATTACACTCCACTCATACAATTCACATACAACAACCCAATGGCGACCTCACGCTCAATGGATTCGTCCTATTCTTCCCTGTTCACCCAAGGGCTGCTTAACTCATCCACACCTCGTGCATCACTCCACCTCCCTCTTCCCGCTTTCCCAACCAAGTCCCACTCTCTTCCATTGGCAGAACGGCGTCGTACTCCCCCACCTACACCGCTCATCATCCCCCCTGCACGCGTAACTCCCGCAAAGCAGTCCCCGCACACGTTCTCTGCCTCTCGCAAGACACCGCGCAGCACCTGCGCCGGAGCAAGGAGACGATCCTCGGTCTCCTCTCCTGCACACGCGTTGCTCAAGAGTCCGACCCGCGCCGAACTGCTGCGCACACGCGAGCTGCACCTCATCCAGGCGAAAACTTCTAGGCGTTCTCATGGGGAAAACATGGCATTGCTGAGGGATGAAGCCAGCGCAGGAGGACGTATGAGCTCCGTGTGGACCGCTCCGGCAGCAGTGATCTCCAGGTCCGTTACATCCCCTCATTAATCGTACTACCGTTCTGAACCAAAGAACAGGCTTCGCCGTCGTGCGCTTCCCATCTCTGCCCCTTCACCTCCACCCATGAAACCCCTCCCCGCACTGCCAGGCCAGAACCCAGCCGACGCCTACCCCTCCCCACTGAGTCTGAATATCGCAGTTACCTATCCCTCCAGCGCGACAACTCCCCCGCTAACGATCGAAATTCCCCAACCGAAAGTTGAGAGCTTCTCAATGGAAGACGAGGACGAAGACATGACTTAATGGTCTCAACATTTCGCCACCCGCTACAGGTAGCGGCTTGATTTACTCAGAATTCTTCAATAATGGAGCTCATCGACTGTGTCGGGCTCGTTTATTCTTACTCTTGCACAATGATCTCCCATGTTCATGTCGAACTACAACACAAACACCTGCCGAATCGGCAGTAATACTACTATCCTCACGGTTTCTCTCTGCCTTCTTTTCTCTCGGCCTTCTTTTTTCTCGGCCTTCTTTTCACTTACGATCCCCCCTCCATTGTAGAACAACGCACAGAAACACGTCGCATCCTAGATACGTAGACCCAGTTCGGGGCAAAGGCGGCGGCAGTACCTAGACAGTTATTTGGCAATGAATTTTTTATTGATAATTTGATTGATTGTGGAATATCGTGCACAGCACCTCTTTATTTTCACGTAACTATGGCGGTGACCGCCCTGATCGTGTTTGAGACCGAGTTTATGTCTCAGTCGTTGCATAACCGAACGCCGAGGGGCTGAAGCTTCTATACAGTACTGTATAGAATGCTAGTATTCTAAAAAGACTATGATGAACAATCAATAGTGCTTGAAACATTAGGTGATTAATATGCCCAGTGTGCCTCGGTCTTGGCTTCGGAAAGCATGTTTCGGCGGGGTCGTTGTGAAACTACACTTTACAATGACGCAACTCCTCATCCATCGTACCATCCATCGTACCACAGGCCGGGTGTCATACTAAGTATTTTACTGTAATTACCAATGAACAATAGTGCGATGACAATACGCCGAACATCCAGTATATTGATGAGGAGAACAATACAGAGGCGCGGGGGTGGGCTCACGGTTGTTACATGTAGGGGCAAGCCGTCTTACAGACCGGACGCGACGAGAACTGTCACACCACGGGACATACCAATTCAGCGTGTGGCACGGAGGTAAATGTAGCGTGTACCTCCGTTTTGCCTCGATAACAAAGAATGGAGGCAAACGGAAGCATACGCTAGCGTGCACAAGCTACACACATCAAATAAGTGTTTCACACTATTAACAATATTAATTTATTTTGAATTTAAACAAAGTCTATTACCATCTGTCTTGTGTATGATTACCACCCTTGTCCTCCTATTTGTTATGACAGAATGAGGTAATGTCAGTGGCTGAGTAGCGTGCAGAGCCAAACTTTGCTTCCGTCCTCCGTGAAAGGTAGCTTGCCACACTACAAAGGCAGTAGAACACCCAAAAAATGTCTGATTACTTACCTACATACTGTAATTATATTATACCATTTACCTGAATAGTCAAGAGCTTGTTATGTTGTTGTTATTGTTGCTTTCTCTAATCAGAACTACACTGCCGCTCAGATGTGGCTGTCCCCTGCCTTCACTTATGGGTATGTGGCTATCCCCTACCCTGACGGAGGTGGCTAGTGGTTGTGCATGACCCGCGGACCCTCATGCACAGCCACCCTCTAGACGTGTTGGGAATGGCTATCATGAGTGCATAATAGTAAGGGACAAGGCAAATTCTTTTGCTTGAACCAACTGAGCAGAGTATCTAACACGAAAAAAAGAATGTAGAGCTTCAATGGACAGCCACTCAGAAATAAGTCACTTTATAGAAGGTTAAAATGATCCCATTTCATCTTAAGGGTTGCAATTGATAGCTTATTAGACGGACTCGTACGCTAGAAATACCTCCGTTTGATTCCGTTTGCCTCCAGGAGCGGGAGCAAACGCCAGGGACTAGCGCTTGTAACAAAGTGTTCACTCGAAAATGTAATGACGGAGGCAAATGTGTACATACGCTACACAGCCACGCGGAAGTACAACCGACGTTTTACTCTCCCGTCACACCACGGGCAGGTCAGCGCAACTCGCCGGAGACTGACAAAATGCTCAGCGACTTATGCTGCAACGTTCGACTGCCTCTTTAGAGTCGTTGTTAAATATTCTCGAAGACGCGATTCTTGCAGGATATTTGATTTCCAACTGGAGAATCAACGATACTGGCTGGGAGCGGTCTAAGGCGATACTAGAACATAGTCTCCAACCAAACAGCTGCAAGCTCTTATTTCGTGCTCTGAAATACAAGCCACATCTTCCGTACATGATCCCAATGCCTGCGGCTCAGAGATTCTGTTCCTCGCCTTGCAAAAGCCTAGATGCACCGATCAGTCCCGGCCAGTTCTTCAGGAAGAAACCAATCGCTCACTTCTTCCCACCCTCAAAAGCCGCCTCGGCATCCTGCAGATCCTGCGAATAGTTGGCCCCTGAGCTCTGCTGCTGCCCCCCCTGCTGGTTCTGGTTGCCCTGGGCACCGCCAGTACCCTGTTCGTAGTCTTGGTAGACTTTCTCGCCTTCCTGGACGAGGGATTTGAGGTTGTTCTCGTTATCCCTGAACACAAATACCGATCAACGGAGACGTTGCTACACGTTTGGAGCCACATATTGGGAGAAGAAGCCGGACATGATTGGTTGTGGATCTGTTGGACACTGAAGAGTTGGACACCACTGGGAGTTCGGCAGTGGCAAAAGGGTTGACCGGGGAAAACATCCTGCCCTGAGAATATTATATATGCTCCTGCAAGCTCCTAGTTCCATCCATGAGACACACTAGCTTATCGCCTGGCACTAGCGCCGCAATAAAGGGCGTCCGCTGTCCATCAGTGGCATTCCACGCATGGATAACGATGACGGGAGAAAGAGGCCCAGACCCTTACTGGCGCTAACGCTAGAGGAGTGATATCAATCTTTTCCGTTCCCGAGTAGAGAACACCTGGTCGGGAGGAATCGATGAGGACCAGGTACCAAGTTCGCGTCCCTGCGGCCGGAACATCCAGCGGATCGACGCCAAACTTCCTCGATGGGACAAAGATCAAAGGGGAACCCCAATGCGGTAGATCAGTTCTAGCAGCAACCATCTTTGTTGAAAAGCAATAGCGTACAAATGTTGCAGCGAAAAATGGATAGATAGATAAATACTTCCTGTGGAGAGAAAGGATTTGGCACGAGGAGCGAAGGAATGAGGTGGGGAGCAGGCAGGTATGGACGTGTATATGGGGAGGATGGAATGGCGGTGGGCAAGAAGGCCCAAGATGTGGATGAAGAACGGAGACGACAGTCCACTTCGGGGAGCATCATAAGTTATCTGACGGGGGCCAAGTGCATGATACAGGAATGACCGAGAAGCAGAAAAAAGAAAAGGTCGCCTGCGTGTATTTATCGACCACGGGGTGGGGGGTCAGAATTGGCTGCTTTCCAGAACCAGAACGGTCCCGCCTGATGATTCGTCAGCTGCTGCAACCTTATTGCAGGGGGTGAATCTGCTTACAGGTCCTTCATGCTCGTGGAACGCATCGCTCCAGATACCCAGGACGCCCATTCTGCTTTTCATTCCACCGATCTGGACCCCCTCGCTAACCCACCGGTCTTGACCATCATAGTTGCTCGTTAATTTCCAGAACACCGTACCATCTTCGCCCATCTCGACCCTGCCGTGGACATGAGAAGTTGGGTGCCACGCATCCGATGAGCGGACGGAACCGGAAAAGTATATCGTTGGGTACTGCTCGGAGAGAGAGGGCCGCTTGGACATGCGGGCCGGAGCGGGCGAAAGGTGCGAGGATTCAGGGCTCGCGGAAGTGCTCGAGCTGGGCGAGCCAGTGAACAGAGTGGAGAACGCGGAGCGGTGCGACCCGGAAGATGTTGGCGAGGTGGTTGTTGAGGTCGCCTTGGCAGCGATGATCTTTGCTGAGAGCGGCGAGAGTTTCCCTAGCTCGGCAGAGCGGTACACATTAGCAATCTCCTCGTGTGCACGGCGATCGTGTTCGTCTTCATCGGGGCGCTCCTCCTTCCGCTTCCCCCATTCCTCGTTTTCACTGTCTTCATTTTCGTCTTCGTCCTCGCGTTGAGCGGAGGGGAAATAGCTGTCCTGCATGTGATTCGAGCGCGTAAGGGCGTGAATCGCAGGTGGTGTCTGCACGTTTGCGCCTCGGATGCCAATGTCTTTAGGTGGCACGCCAACGGAGTCGACCTTCAGGTTGAAAGACATCACGCGAACTGCTTCACTGTACTGCTCCATGAAACTTGGGTTGAACGCCAGGAAGTCACCATACTAGATCATCCCAAAGATAAGTGCGTGTATGCGTATAAAAACTGCGCCAGGCTCACATTGTAACCCCAGAGGTCCCTGTAATCCATGAAGCATACTACCCGGTACCACTTACCGGTAACGCCAGCCCAGTCTCCAATTTCTAGTGCAGGTGCCTTTGGTTCAATAGAGGGCATCGTATAGTTTCTAGCCGCGTGAAGACCCATCAATGGTGCATCGCCGTCCTGCAACCTCCAGTCGTCAACGCGCTCGTTCACGTTCCTTCCCACAACAAGCATCATCGCTTCTAGGTGTTCCCAGTTAGGCGTGCGTGTGAAGTCACCTGTGTACGGCCCCCAACGGTTCCGCTCGTGGTAGTTTGCTAGGCGATATACTCTCTCTCGAGCTTTCCCACGCTCGGCGATGGTGGTGAGGTCCCAGTCGGTCAGACCGAAATGTACGTGGAGTTTCGCGGATGCTTGCTTCGCTTCCTCGGGTGTGTGGTCCCAGACGAGCTTGCGCAGTAATGGGTGGTCCAATGTGCTTCGGACGAAGTCGACATTCTTGCTGTCCCAATCCTCCTCGCTGGATACCATACCAACAGGGAGGGTCTTAGGATCTACATTTCCACGCGCAGTATCGAATACATGTACGAGCACTCTCAAAGCTTCGGAAAATTCTTTTTCGCCCTTGAGCACACCCGTGAAGTCGGCTGAGTCGACATCGATCGAAGTTGGGTCGTCCGTCCGGCCACCTGCACGAGCGACGCTGGCGATAAGCTTACGCTTGAGCCCACGCAAGACTTGCCTTGCGCATATACGCTCGCACAGCTGTTTCTGCCAGAGATCGAGCTTGCTGAAACGTGACCAGAGCGCAGCGGTTGGTGGGTCCGTCACACGCGGGTCATCCTGCATATACCGACCACCCGATGAGGTTAGGTCTCCGTTGGAATAGAGGAGAACGCACAAAGAGAGCTAGAAAGAGTTCCCTCCATAGCACTTGGTCAAATGCGCTGTACACGAAGTCCCGGTTGGCATGGGAGGTCTGGGCAAACGCAGCGACATCTACTGGGTCACAAAGTGACAAACAGCGCTGTGTTATCTAAGAGGACGTGAATATTTACAGTTGCGGTATTGCATACATACCTCTGGTGGGAGACTCTCTAGCGTGACCGCCCTCCCTGGGGAGATTGATGATCGTGCCATGATGCTCAGTCCACAAGGAGAATGTATGCAGTTGGAGGTCTCGAGGTACGGGCTGAGTCAAGCAAGGAAGATTGTCGTTCGTTGTCAGCGTATCAAAGTAAGCCGTTATCCATCCAATTCTTCCAGCTGGGTGACCGACCGTTGCAGTTCAGTGGAGGGTAAGGGTGGTGGTGTATCGTAAGCCACGGGGTGGTGTGTCCAGCACGGGTCCGATATCTTTCGGTTGTCGGAGGAATGAGGCGTGTGGGTCGGACGATGTGGAAGACGAGGAGGAGGGACAGCCGGGTGACGGTTGAGGGGTCATTACCTCGCTGGCTCTCAGGGCAGGCGCTGCATCTCAGCCAATCACAGTCCGTCTTCGGACTTGTCTATGGCCGAAGTGGCGCAAGACTGTGGGGGTAATCACGTTTTTTCCCCCGGCCGTCTTTCGTTTCTGTTCAAGCCGCCCTCCACCGGTCGACGGCCCCTTTCGGAGCCTGTTGATTGATGGTCTCTTCCCTAATAACCCCGGCATTGCGCAACTTCCTTTCGAGCGTGAAGTCTGATACTCTAATCTCACCTTGTCACGGCAAGTCTCATAACTTAGGAGCTGAACGGACTGCCACTCGAGCCGTACTCCTGTGAAATACGGCTAATACAATAATATTTGAACAATTGCCCGATATGGAAAGCCTCACGGGCCGTGATCGTCCAGAGAGCTCCACAAGATTTCTGCAAATCTATTGTTGTTGCCTAATCGAAACTAGTGTTTGGATGAAGCGAGGAGCGGCTTCACAACTAACAATATTACAGAATCTGTCCTCATGTGGATAATACCGCGCAGATTCAATGTTGCCAGGTACGGAAAGCGACAGTAGATGCACAAATAATGTATATGCAGTAGTGGTTTGATATATAGGCCCCAACAGCACGTGCGTGGTAACCTGCACAGGAACAGATCTGCCATCGGGTAACACGGTCAGGAGAAACTCCATTGACGGGATTAGCCTCAGCCTTGGCATTCTGCCGGCCATTGAACAATCAAAACACGTTAGTACATATTGAAGTGACGTTTCAGCAACAATCATCGAAGTCAATTGTTAGCGATAGTGTGAACTGCATTGCCACGAAGCATCACTGAGCGACGTCAGAAAGGGCCTCTGCCGTGGTAAGCTTAGGACCCAGCATGACTTTAGTGCCAAGTCTCGCGAACTCTTCTTCCAACCACTGTTGGCGGGCCTTGTCCCCGAACGGCAGCGTGTCGAGGTCGATCCTCTGAATCGGAACGGGCAGCTCGATGCCATTATTTGTCGTATATCGTGGGAAGAGCCGCTCGAGTTGGACAATCCTGCAGTTTTCTAATTTGAGAAAACGCAGGCGGGGGAGGGGGAAGCAGTGCCGTTGATCCATCCCCGGGGTGATACGGAGAGCGGGGAAGAAGCGACGAGATTGGGCTGTGCCAAGGACAGTGACCAGAAGGGCGGCATGGTTGTCCAGATATGGAACCGTGGCGCGGATTGTGAACGATTCGACTTCAGGGAGGAACTTCAGCAGATATTGAAGAGGCCAATATGCCATCGGCAAACCATCGGCATCTTTGGGGAGGCCGTCGCCGAAGACGAGATGTCGCAGGGTGGATGCTGTAAACCCCTTGTCAAGGATTGTGGACCGTCGCAAGGATGGCATGGCTACGCGGTCGCGGAACGATGTGATGATCGTATAATCATAGGGAAAGATGAATTCTTCGAGGCTCTGGAGCTTGAAAACTGGTTTGGCTAGCTCCAGACGACGGCGAACGGCAGAACGGAATGGGGGAAAACAAGATGAATACGACAGATCGAGAGACACCAGTCCGGAACAGTCGTACATTGCATAGAAAAGGTCATCAATCCGGGAAAATTTGACATGCGCCAGCTGCAGCTTTCGTAAAAAGTCGGTGGAAATACCTAAGTTCGGGAACGGACGTCGGACTCGGTGCTTGCTCATGTTCATGTTGAGTGTCTCGACTCGATACAGCTCCGGTAAAATGCAACGAAAACTTCAGTGCACCGTCACAGGATGGGTAGCAAACATCGTAACAGTGAGATTGCGTCGTTTGCTTCGCTCCATCCACCGTACGGCACGATGCATATGGTGGTTTGTTGAGATGCAGACTGTTGTCCACAGAGCAGGCGTACACAGAGCGGCTCTCCTCCAGAACCGATTCACTAGGGAGAATCGGACAGCGCATGACTCATCGACGGGGATCTCGCTTCCACCCAACCTCCGTTCATCTCGCTCGCAGAGTGTAAAAATCTCGGATAAGAGTTCGAGTGGCAAGCGCTCGATGTAGCATGGTCCTGTCGGATCCTTCGGAGGTCCACGTCGACGAGTATGCTTCGCTCTCTTCCTCTTTGGTATGGTGGGATACGGCATTTACTAAGCAAATAAGATGACTCCAGGTGGGGGGAGAAACGGATATACAGAAGTGTGAGAGGGAAAAGAGCGTTCCTTTTGTTTCTGGTCGTTCAGTCCCGACTCAAAAGGGATCCGTGCATCGCCGATGTGACGCGCCGACTTCACGGCCATCACCAAATTTCAGTTTTCGACATCTGCCGCCCATCCCTCCCAACCAATGGCTCGATCATAGACTCTCGTTATTAATAACTTGATTAAATAGACACTGCAGTCTCAATGTTTTGAACTGTCTGGGACACAGCATAGAACGATTGCAGCCAGCTCGAGCATTGGATGTCCGAGCTTCCAGCGCCTCCGGCATTCGGGCACACCGACGTCACCCAATCTCTCTCGCAACCTGATCCGCATGTCAGTCAACATAGAAGCAAAGGATGGCTAGCATCGTACTCGCCGGAGTTGCGAGCATGGATCAACGAGTCTATCGCGGGCACTGTCGGGGGCGCGGTTGGCATGATCGTTAGCTACCCATTCGACACAGTGCGGGTCCGTCTCCAAAATCCAGATACTGCACACAAGTATCGGGGCATGATGCATGCCTTCACGTTGATTGTAAAGGAGGAGAAAGTCACCGGACTGTTCAAGGTAGGCTTGTTAAACCACTTCGACGTTGTCCAGGCTGACCCATTAGCTAGGGGATGACCTCACCCCTCATCACGCTAGCGCCGTTGAATGGGCTCGTCTTCGGTGCATATGGCTACCTCTTGCGCCTCCAATACCCTAATCTCACACCTGAGGAGCGACCGCCACTTCTTCCAATAGCGCTTGCGGGTACACTGGCTGGTGTGCTAGGTTCCACTATTGCAGGCCCTGTGGAGCTCGTAAAGATCCGCCAACAGAACTTGGTCGGTGCCCAGGGTATGCCGAGCACTTTGTCGGTCGTGAGAGATATTTGGCGCAAAAGGGGACCTCTTGGGCTGTACCGGGGATTCACGTCGACTGCACTGCGAGATTCTGGTGGAGGGCCATATTTCCTCACGGTGTGTGCCGCATACATCTATCTTTTGACCCATTTGCTCATGGGATATGCTCGCTCTTGTTAGTATGAGATTCTGCATAGACTCAATCCTCATTCCCCCTTCACTCCCCTCATCGCGGGCGGTGCTGCCGGCATCGTCGGCTGGCTCTCGACTTTCCCTTTCGATGTCATCAAAACACGCATGCAGTCCGTCGATCGTGCTGAGGCAGGCAAATACAAGACCACCTGGAGCACCATTCGGGCGTGCTGGAGGGAGGAAGGCTGGCGAGTATTCTGGACAGGTGTCCGTCCTGCAATGATCGAGTGCCTTCCTTACAACATGGCAACTTTCGGGGCCTTCGAATTAGTCCTCCATTTCTTACGATAAGCAACTTGAGTAAGTGATTGTCAGTGCAATAATGTACTATTACCTAGAACTGAGATTTCTTATAATTCATTCGCTCCTCTCAGACAACAGGCCAGGGAAGTCGGCAACAATATATCCTGCACGTGGCTGAGATAACATTTTTTCTTCAGGGCGTTCCTCCGTTGTGCGCGGATCATTCCGCTTCTAGCAACATGCCTCTGCCATGACTCTCGATTCCGTATTTGTCGCGGATCACTTACAAAGCACCACCACATGTTATATCCAAACCCTGCCGTTCGAACTCTTATCTCATGTCTTCATCATTTGCGAACAAAACTATAACGCGGCATTGACAACACCGCCCGATCTTCGACATAATAGTTGTGCGTTTGTCCTCCGTTCAGTCTGCAAACAGTGGAACGAGGTCGCGCTCTGCACCCCCCAGTTATGGACGCGCATACGAATCCTGGGACCGCGCACTCTGGCGCTTGCCGAAATGTGGATTCAGCGAAGCGGTGCTCAGGAGCTTGATATCTCAATCATCCTGTCTTCGCCAACCGAAATCGCTGCCTCCAACGCGCTCATAGAACCGCATTTGAGCCGCATCGTGACCATGCATTTTGGAATGACTTGTGGGACCACCATATACACGCCCGCGCAGCCCGCGCCGCTGATTCCAGACACGATCCGCAGTCTCCGGTTCGCAAACATCGGCTTTTCGAATTGTACTGCCCTTCGAAGAAACCTCTCGCTATTCCAACGGCTAAAATATCTCGATTTATCATCATCCAGCACCGATGAAAAATGGATGTCTGTCGATGAAATTAGGATATCACGTCCGGATTGGTTCCTGATGGAGGAACTCGAAGAAATACTGTTACCGATGAATGCGCTGTGCGAGCGCGTACGACAATATTTGCTGGCGCCTCGTTTACGGTATTCTTCCATCAGAGGTCATTACTTTGCCCCATCCCCTGCCAACACTCTCATTGTACGGGAGGACCTTTCCTCTGAACAAGGTCCCTTGGGTGTTCACATTGTTTTACTGCAAGTTCCCGAGGTCGAAAGCTTGACACTTATTTGGTCGAATCGGACCGCAGACTTCTTGAAGCCAACATTCTGCGACTATGCTTTACATTGCCTGGGGATGAAGAGACATGCTTTCCCTCTTCCGGATATGTCTCTCTCAGAAGACGAGTGGACGGATCCGCCTCAGATGATGTTACCGCGACTACGAAACCTCCGAATGTGCAACGTTCCCAGGATTGGCACTGTAGATGCACTGTATGATCGATACGTCCCCACATACACCGGATCATTGCCCGCTGTACTCGAAAGAGTCGAAATTGATGGACCGGTAGAACCGACCACTTGGCCAGCCGTTGCGAAGACCCTGCGAGAGCATGGCACGACCGTAATCGAATCGTTCGGAACCAGTATATTTCGTCTCCAGGGAAATGAACCGCTCAACGTATAACTCTATTGGAGGGCACGGTTACCATCGGAAATTAGTATCTCACGATTACACATGGCATTGATAGTATCTACAGATCATATTACATGCACAGCTCGTATTACTATTAATAACACCCCTCGTTCGACTCGTTCACGTCGCAATTTGCTCTATTCAACCCGATCACGATTCTTATCACTGTGCTGGGCCAAACAAGGCATCTTCGGCATTTGCACTCGGGAAAGCTTTTCGCTCTTCTCGACAATATCTGTCATCTTTGCAATTCAATGGACACGTGAAGGATTAGAAAATCGCGAGATTGCAACAATAATGCACAGCCTTCCCTGTTGAATTAGAGTCAAACGGATCCGCACGCTGCTCGGGTATCACTCAAGCGTTCATGATTGGACAGCCTTCCATGGCGCAGCCGCAAGATACTGCTCTTTTCTCCGTCAATCCAATTGACCGCCTCCCATTTGAGCTCATATCCGATATCTTCAGCATCTCCGAGCAGGCTCACGGAGACGAATGGAGACTCACACCTCATGAAACCTGTCCGGCTGCTATATGCTCTGTGAGCAAGCGCTGGAAAGAGATCGCGCTTGCCACACCGCTGCTTTGGACTCACGGAAAGGTATCTGGACCAGAAACGCTCCTTCAAGCCATAGAATGGGCCAGGCGTAGCGAGCCTTATGAACTCCATGTTGAAATCACGCTCTTCGAATGGCAAGATGCTTTCCGATATCTCTGGGCTTACAATACTCGCATTGTTGACATTGAATTCGACGGCATGGGCGCACACATCGAACTGAAAGACATGGCGCTTCTATCACCTTTTTCCAACACCCTCCGTCATTTGTGCATTTCTCTAATCAAATTCCCAAGTGCGGACTCGCTCTTAGAGTATCTAGCGTCCTGTAAGGAGCTAGTCGCCTTGGATATCCAGTCAAGCACGACCGGCGAAGAGTGGATGTCGGAGGAGGAGCACACCCAGTCGTCAGCACGAGCGATTACCTTGGAAAAGCTAGAAGACCTTGCATTGCCGGCCAACTCACTTGGCGAGCGTATCCTACGACATATCATCACGCCTCGTCTACACAACGCAAGAAAATCGTTCACCAGCCCGGCGTTTGTCAAGACAGGCGGCGATCTCTGGATCAAGAAAGGTCATATCAGCCTTGCCAACACCGACGAGACACTAATCAGCAAGCTTCTTCCCCTCGTATCGGACGTCCGGGTGCTCACGCTCGAATATCCCCCCGACGGGCAAGGACGTATCGTCGAGTTCTGCACCGTTCTTCTGCGCCAACTAGGAAAGACGATCCGTTTTTTCCCCTTGCCACATCCCGGATCTCTCTGGAATCAAGGTGGGCAAATTCCCCTTCCGGCACTTCACACCCTCCGGCTTGTGAACTACCCGTACCTCGTCGACCCCGCGAGGAGGCACGTCTTCCGCCCGCGTGATATCCCGCCCCAGTTCCCCGTTACAGATCTCGGGCTGATGTTCATGGCCCGTACCGAGTGGGAGTCAGAAGGTAGGACGGATCTCTTGAGTAAGCTGCACTTCGAAGGAAAGCGACCCGTAGATTGGGGGGAGCGGGGTGAGCTGGTCGTGGAGCAATTGCGCAGGGAGGGGATCACCGTGACCACTCAATTTACCAATTAGATCTAGACATCACAACTCGGCACATGATACTGCAAAAACGCGCGTTTGGAGTTCAGGTAGACTAGAGGTCTGTGAGGCCCAACGAACATGTTATTGTCGGTTTCGTCCTCCATCTATCCCCCTCTACCAAAAGGCAAGGGCAGGCACTACCTAACATCCCGACGCTGCACCAATGGTGCGGTACGTAATAACCCGCTTACTCGGGCAGTGTCCATAGGTAAAATAAACTCTCCATCCCTTCCACGAAGCCCAACATGTTCAAATGACAAAAGGAGGCGAAAGGGTTCACATCACCCAGACACCCAACCAAACCGCGCTTGCCACAGCGAGCACGTCCGACCAGCCTAACCTGGTAGACCTGAGAGCACCGCTCTTCGCGAGAGCACTGGGAGAGGCGCTCTGGCTGGGCGAGAAAGGGACGAAAGTGCCTGAGCTGGTTTGGCTGGACTGCTGTGCACCAGGAACGGTGCCGTCCCCTGCGGCGGTAGTCAACTGAGCACCGCCCGCGCCTGAGCCGTTTCCTGTCCCAGCTGTGGGAGCACTGGTCGCGGCAGCACCCGCGCCGTTCGCGGTGTTCGTGGTAGGAGCATCGCCAGCAGCGCCGTTGATGCCGCCGGGGGTGACGTTGGCTGCCGAAGCACCGGTAAGTTTCCCGACACCCCAAGGAGCGGGGGTGATGTTGTCAGGCTGGTTTGGTGCGGGGACGGTGGCGCCGGAAGAGCTGGCGATCTGCGGGAGAGATATTGGTGACGGCCAAATTAAAGAACAGGGATAGAACGTACAGTAAACCTCGTAGTCCAGGTGATGTTTGACTGGCCTGGCTGGGTGAACTGGTAGAAGTAGATTGCCGCGTTGACGTCGACCTGCGGACAAGGGTAGGAGAAGGAAGTGATGCCGGTCGCGGTGGTTCCGTCCAGACCCGTAGCAACAACTAGGTATCCCGTGAGCATTGCACGCGTTTGGTTCGGGGGAAACGAGCACGTACTCTCGAGTGGGGTCATGGGGCTGTTAGAGCCTGTCATGAGCTGAATCTCGAAGCTGTTCCAGAGGCCTGAGTCGTCCGTCTTCCACGCGATCGGGCAGTTAGCACCCGCCGGGTAGACACCACTGTTATCTGGCGTGGTGGGGGCGATCATCCCCAGAGTGGGGAGAGCGAGGAGAAGAGAGGAAAGCAGAAGCATGACCATGTTGACTCGGTGCTTAGAGATTTGCAGGGTTGGTGTGGGTATGTTGCGTAGTGTGAAAGTTCGGCGCAAAGTGCAGGATTAAGTCTCCAAAACGAGCAAGAATATGAATGAGTGGAATGGAGAGCGGTCGGCTAAGAAAGAGATATAAGAAAATCCGGAGTGAACCTGACAAAGGCCAAACAACACAGCAGACAGGGATGATGATGGTGGAGAGAGAACAAGCGACAAGAGGCGGGGTACGCTCAAGATGGTTACAACGGTAGGGCGGTGCTGATCATTTTCCGATGTCACACCGGGACGCGGCTCTTCACATTTCACGTGGATTAGTGGCAGTGTATTAGAAAGGCCCTCACGTGATTAATTGGACGACGCGTCTCCGAATGCGTCAACGTTGACGGCGACATCGACATTTACAACGACGACGACGACGTGAAGGGCAACGATGGCGACTCCAACGCCAGCACCAACAAGCCACACTCCCGGCCGTGTGAGGTTTCTATCACCCGTCGCCGCCCACACCCCAGCATCAACATCCACAGCGTCCGCAACATCTTCCGCATCTACACAACCAGATTCATCCTCGTTCCTCCTATTCCTCACCACCCAACTTCAGTCACATGGTTTCCTCCCCCCCTCTTCGTCCCTCTCTTCACTCCTCTCTCTCCCGGAGGAGCAGCAAACCGTAATCGAGAAATGTCTGCATACATTATTGCAGCAGAGGGTCGAGGATATGGCTCGTCTGGAAGAAGTCGGTGCGGGCCTGAGAACTGCGGAATGGGAAAGGGGACGCTGGAGAGCCAGATATGAGGAGGAAACATGTGGGAAAGATAGAGCAGAGAGGGAAGGCGAGGCGAAATCTGCTAGACTGGCGTATGTATCTGAGCAGCATTCCCTTCGTCTAACTGATGTGATGCTAGTGCGCTCACCAAGTCCCTCCAAACTGAACAAACAGCACACAAGCAAACATCCTCCCATCTCACCCGGGCACAAAGTACCCTCCAGACTGTGCGAGGCCATGCCCAAGCCGAGCTACGTAAGCGTGACAAGGAAGTGGAGCGAATGGCCGAACGATGGCAGCGGATTGCGGCCGAGCAGGCTCGGTTAGGTGCTCTGGGAAGCGGCATGCGAGTGGATCTTCCCCTAACTGCTTCTACACTTTCCATACCAGTGAGTACTTTTAGTTGTTGTTATTCGAACTGTGGTGCTAACACCACCAGACGGATTCCCTCCTTGAGACTCAACTGCAAGAAACCGAGTCCCACCGCGTCCGACTTGTAGAAGAGAATGACGCGCTCCGCGCCACCTTACTCGTTACCGCGCGCGCCCTCCAGTCCCTCTTAAACCCCAGTGAACCGCCCATACTCCCGAGCGCGCTGTTTACCCCTGAGCTGGTGTTTAGTGACTCCCCTGAGTTTCAAGCTCGCAACGCAAGGTCGAAGTTGCTGGAGCTCTGTCACTCTATATCAGACCGGCTCGCAGCTCAACCTTCCTCTTTTGCATCCTTGCAAGCACAGAGCTCGAACGAGGAGCTGGAGACGGCTAAGGATGAAGTACGAAGATTGGCGGAGAACATCAAGAGGGTGGAGGAGGAGCTTGCCGAGGCGAGGGGGAGGGAGGAGAGGGGACAGAGACTTATGGAACAGTATGCGCTTCAGGCTACTAAGGGGAGGGCCTCAGACGCTTTTCTGTACGTTTATCTCGCCGACCCAGCGTCACCGATGCTGATACTTGGTTTGGTGTTTTCATGAATAGCGATGATCCAGATACCACTCGACGCCGTGCGCTGACCGAAGAAGCACAACTGCTGCAACAAGACCGGGCGCAGCTGACAGAAGCAGCCGTCCAGTTGGGCAAAGAGCGCGCGCAACTACAGCGAGAGAGGCAAGAACTAGACGAGGAGAAACGGAAAGCAGCACTGAAGGCGATATTAGAGGACTTGCCGCCTACGCCTGTTCCATGGAAGGAGGCGGAGTCGTTAGTTGCGGAGCTGAGCAGAGGCGGCGCGCGGTTCGGCATGCCCGGAATGGGAGGGTGGACGACTTCCACCCCTGCACCTGCGCTGCTGGGCTTCGCACACGCTATCGACGAAGACGAACTCGAATCGCCCAGCGCGGTCCAATATCCCCCTCCTTCCATGCTTGAACAGCCATCTTCGCCCCCGCGCACTCCTTCCCCCATCCGTGCTCACCGCCGGAGAGCCAAACGTCAATCTCTCTCCCCCGCCACCTCGCACACACACAAACGCACCTCCTTGGGTGGGTCGAAGACCCGTAAATCAAACAAATCCTCCAAACCGATATTCCCGAGGAAGAGCGCTCTGGCTTTGAAAGACTATAGGCCGATCGTGGGGAGCCCACTGAAACAAGTGACTACTCTCGCGGAAGGGGACTCGAGTGGGAGTGTACGGGTGGCTGCCGTACCCCTAAAGGCGGAGAAAGTGACGAAGGGTAGAAAGGAGAAAGAGAACGACCCCCCCCCTGTTGTCTCCAATCATCCCCCTCTAGCAGTCGGACAAGCACTCCGTGCCAGCACCCTCCAAGGCAATCCAAATGGACTCCGTGCTAGCACCCAGCGTAGTGCGGACCCGAAAGCAGCAAGAGAGAGCACAGGCTTGAAGGGAGGAAGGGACAGCCTGCGCCTGAGTGCGAGGGATTTGCTGCCTCTTCCGGGTGCCGGGAGGAGGAAGAGTGTGTTGGGTGGGGGCGCACAGAGGGTTTGGAGAGGGTGAGCTGATCCCAGGGCGGGTGCGGGATGTATAATACCTTTTCATGTCCTTTTTGTTCTATATGTGAGGTGGTTTCTATTTTACCCAGTTCGGATCTCTGGGTTGCTGGTTTCGTCATCGCCTGAGGGGACCGTTGCTAAAACATAACTCTTGGTCAGAGATTCAGCAGTAGCCCCATGTCAAGACCTGGTGGAAGAGGCGATCAACTGGGTGACTTTGAGAGATGAAGAACGGTCATTATCATTAACCCATGCTATCGTACATCTCTTGCCCAACCCTCCACACCTCCAATTCCTCACACTCAATCAATCGATACCGCACCCACGTTTCCCAACTCGATCCTCTCTTGGTCCTCGTCCTGCTGCTGCTGAGCAACACTCCCAATCCCCTCCCTCAGTTCCCTGCGCACACAAAGCTGTTCCGGAAAGACGACCATCACGGCTGCGCCTGCCCCTGTTCAGCATTCTGACACTAGCTTCTGCAGGGGAAGGACATACATATACCCATAACGAGCCAGAAGAAGAGTGAGAGAGGAAGGGAGTGCGAGTAGGAGGTCGTTATGAGAATATGCACAAAGATGAGGGTGAGGGAGAAGTCGAGGATGTACGTCGGACGGCGGATAACATAGTACAAGTAAGTGATACTGTCTCTCATCAGCATTTATTAGAATCTCAGAAGAGGTATACGCACTTCACACAAGCTCCCAAGAGCCATCCCACACCAATGACCCACCCTCGTCTAGGATCCACAGCCCTTGCCCAGTCCTGGTTCCCCCTCCCAGCTCCCCAATTGCCCCACTCCCCCATCCCTGCTTCTCTCCTCCCCGCCATCTCCCGCCAATCGAGTACCATCCCCACTGTCCCCCTCCCTCCTAGATACTGCAGGTACTCGCTGTCTGTGAGCAGGGAGAGCAGGGGCGGGAGAAGGAGGGCGAGGGTGAGGTAGTGTAGTGTTTGGAGGATGATGATCTGGGAGAGGAGGAGAAGGGGGTCCCATCCCTGCAGTCTGAGACGAGGGCGAGGGCGGCCTGGCATGGCCGGGGTATGTTAGGTGGAAGTGGTTATTGGTTGTCGTTGTTGTTGTCCAATGTGCAATGTATGCGCCGTCCAAACTTTCGGTCACTCGGCGACACGCGATCGAACATCTCGGAAATACATCACAGCCACCCGGTTCTCCTTCGGCTCCGGCTTAACCTTCTTAAACTTCCCGAAGAGGCAGGTCAACTCCCCTGTTATCGGGCGCTCTCCTGTCTTCTCCAGCTGGGAGATGGAGAGTGCATGACTTATCTGTCTCCTTCATGCACCATTGTTATTGCTATAATCTCTTCATTAATGCACTCCTGCTTTGTCTGCTGGCGACACAAGTCATGTCGTTTCCCACAGATCCCCGAGAAGAGAAGAGCATCACCCATGCGGCATTAGGCGACGGAGACGTGGGCAAGACGACGCTCCCACAATGGCGGCTGCTGATGAACGAGTATCTAGCAGGCACCGTCGGTGGTGCGTCCTCCCATTCATCTTCCCCTCTCCTGCTCGCTGACAGACCCTGTGATGTCGAGCAGGCATGGCAGGCCTCGTAGTGGGCTACCCGTTCGACACTGTCAAAGTCCGTTTGCAGAACCCGGAGACGGCGGGCAAGTACACGCACGGGATCTGGAGTACGTTTGGGAGGATAGTCGCTGAGGAGCGAGTGAGCATTTCCTTCCCTTCTATTTGCTTAGCTCATAATGTTGTGATAGTTCCTCGGGTTGTTCAAAGTGCGTGAGATGCTGGATGTGGGAGAGGATGCTAATGCAAGATGGGGCAGGGAATCGCATCACCTATGGCAACCCTCGCGCCTCTAAACGGGCTGGTCTTCGGCGGGTACGGCTACTTCCTGCGACTCCAGTCCTCCGCCTCTGGTCAAGTACCCACCCTCTGGCAAGTAACTGTAGCCGGCACGCTCACAGGCATCGCAGCATCGTGCGTCCCCCTCTCCTTCCCTTCCGCATCATCTCCTCCCATTTATGCTCTGACATGTGAGCAGGACGATCACCGCCCCCACAGAGCTGATCAAGATCCGTCAACAGACGCTTATTTCCACTGGCATCCCATCCACCTGGTCCGTCGTCCGCACCATCTACTCCAAACACGGCATCCCAGGGTTGTACAGAGGGATAACAGCAACGGTGCTCCGCGACGCCGGGTATGGGCCGTATTTCCTCGCCGTGCGTGCCCATCTCCTTCTATCTCCTGATGCTGATGTTTGTGGGATAGTACGAACTGACGACCCGCCTCTCCCCCTCCTCCCCTGTCACACCCCTCTTTGCAGGCGCCATAGCCGGTATCATAGGCTGGACAGCGACCTTCCCGCTAGACGTGCTCAAAACCCGCATCCAGTCGTTCGACGCAGACGGTTCAGGCCCATACAGGAGCACGTGGAGCACCGCCGTCCATAGCTGGCAAGAAGAGGGCTGGGGAGTGTTTTGGCGCGGTCTTTGGCCTACTGTCGTCAGGGCTGTACCTGTTAATATGGCGACTTTTGGAGCGTTTGAGTTGGCGTTGAGGTATTTGGCGTGAATGAGTGGTTGGTTACTTTACCTGGTCAAGAGGGAAGGGCGATGCGTAGAATAGACGCCTAAAGGGCGCGCAATGTACTGTTATCCTATTGCAAGTATTACAATGTACGATGAACAATTGACGGTGGGTGATGAACGATGCAGCCGAAATCCGTCCTGTGCCTATCCAGATACTCCTACATGATATAGTCATAAGTTCCATGTCAAGCTCAGCCTTCCGTCCACATTCCGTCCACCCTCGCACAGGTGCACAAGAGCTCACTGCACTCCGTCCTCGAGGAAAACCATCCCCGTACCTCTACAAGTAGGGCATACCTGGCCGTCAAAAAACAACACCGAGATGGTACCAGCACCATCACACCCCGGGCATTTCCCTTCCTGTTCCCTTTCCTCTCTCTCCCTTGCCCGTTCCCGTTCTCTTTCCTGCTCGCGTTCTCTTGCTCTCTCCCGCTCCCGCTCTCGTTCCCTCGCCTGTTCCCTCTCCCTAGCTGCCGCTGACCCAGGCGCAGGAGTAGGGAACACCACCGGCGTCCCTCCACTTCCTTTCCCCGGCGCCGCTTTGGGAAAGATGAACCCCGCTCCGGACGCACCCGCGAACCTTCCTCTAGGCCCGCTCTCCGGCCACGCGCCTAACCTCAACCCTGCAGGTGCAGCTGAAGAAGACTTGATCGACGGTGGGCGCTGGACGGGAAGAGGACGCTGGAACGTCGATGCTCTGATGGCGGATGTGAGTGGGGGCCGGAAGGGACGGCCGTATTTCTGCCAGCATTTGCGGCATGGGTGAGAGGGATCAAACTCTTTATATCCGGTGTTATAGCCTGCCAACTGTGAGCACAAGCACGGAGAAAGACAAGGGGAGACCCACATTTAGGACAGCTAAATCCTTCAGGATAGAACAGCACATGACCCTTCAACATCAACGGTCTACCCACAACCGGCTCCGAGCTGGGCGTATCGTCCCTCTCCTGCCTTTCGAACCTCTCCCTCTCCCGCTCATGCTCCATCTCCAGGTCGTCCAGCTCAAGGAGGAACCATGTCCTACGTTCGAGGTTTTCTCGGCCAGGGTCGGCGCTGGCAGGGGGCCGCCTGACGGTAGGCTCTCTTCCATCCCTCCCACGACCGGACATCGTCCGTCCCCTCGGGTGCTCCTCTCGGACACCAACGTCCCTTCCCGGACCACTAACGGTCCGCTCCCTCACCCGTTCACTCTCGCTCTGTGTCCTCTCTCTCCCCAGCGCACTACTCCCACTAGCAGCCCTCTGCCTCTCCCGTTCTCTCTCCACCCATCCCCAGCCCACCTCCTCCCACACCCACCCGCTCCCCTCCCTATCGTCCCTCTCGCGCCTATCAGCGCTCACGCTCCTCTCACTAGGAGCCGCAGCGCTTCCGTTGGTGGACGGCCAGCCGACGTCAGGGAAGGCGGTCATCGGGCTGGGCGGTGCTGCTCCGGGAGGGAGGGCGAATCTCGGGCTGGTGGGACTCGATGTGGCTGGGCTGTGCTCCCTGTGCGTAGTGTGGGAACGTGAGCCGTGCCTTCCAGCTGCATGAGCCGTGGGTGCTTGCGTGTGGATATGAGGATGAGGATGACCGGCAGGGTGCGGTGAGCTAGTAGAAGGAGAAACGGTATAGTCCACTTCGTCTAGCCAAGCTGGGGAGGGGGGTACGCGCACTTCGGGGCGCTTAGCCTTCCCCGCTGCAGTCCTCGGTACCGCGCTCCTGGGTGTGATAGTGCTCGAGCTGCCTGTTCCCGTACTAGAGCTTGATTCTGACGCCGCTGTGGGGAGGGAAGACAACACGCTGGGAGAACTTGCCCACCCGAGCCCTAAGCCGAGCCCTATCGCCCGAGCTCGCTCCCTCCCTCGTTCGAAAGGCAGCCAGCTTCCGCTCCCTCCGCTACTTGCACTTCCCGTGCTTTCTTGTACTGCTGAGCTGGGGGACGGGGCGGGTCGTGCGGAGGATGGGGAGACGCTGGACGTGGCGGAGGGGAAGGAAGGCGAAGGCGGCGGAAGGAAAGGAGAGCGATACTCTGTTGCTACTACTGGGGAAAGAGACGGCTGCGAGCCAACAGAGTGGAAAGATCCATCAGAGTCGTAGTCTTCGTTTGTCCACGGAAGGGTGTACGACGCTTGAACTAAGGGCGAGTGTTGGTGGGGGTTCGTCACGGGTAGAGGAGGTACAGGCGGGAGAGGATGTTCTTCCTCCCTACGTAAGCTGAAGGAGTCGTCTGTCGTGCTCGCTCGTCCTCTGGCACGGGAATGTACAAGCGGGTCACTGACAGTCTGCTGGTGGGACGCCCTTCCCACCCCCGGTGGAGAATGCAGTTCCCCAAGTTCACCTCCTAAGCTCGTGCATCTCGCCCCTCCATCCCTAAACGAAGGCGGAGGCGGGAGGTCGACAGCGGATGACGGGGCGGATGAAGAGAGCTGCGGTGGTTGCCAGGGTGTACCCCATGGTCTGAGCGGACCAAAGGATACCGACGCCTCGCTCGAGTGAGGGCGGGCGGTGTATGCGGGCGGTGGGTCGAGCTCGATATCTTCCTCCTCTAGCGATATTCGGGCGAGGCGCCCTTCGCTCCTCCCAAGGGACAGCGAGACGCCAGGAGCGGAAAGAGGCAGAGGTGGAAGGGGCGGGCTCTGACCACGCCCATGGGCGGAACGTCGTGCCAGATTCTCGTTCGTCCCTGGAGGGGCGTTTCGCTGGTTGAGCCGGAGGGTAGATGTGCGCGGAAGGGAGGAGGAGAGAGAGTTGAGCGCTTCTGTCGTGAAGAGAGAACGGGGTCGGGGCTGCGAGGAATGTGAGGGGAGTGTTGCGCGCGATCGTGGGTGGGATGGGAGCGGGGAGGCCATCGGGGACGTACTCGTGAGCATCGTGATTGCTGGAAGGTCGTAATCGTAAGTGAACGTAGACGTTGGCTACCGGTAGGGTGTAAGACGGTACCGCTGGGCGCCTGATAGATAGATATATGCGCGTTTCAATGTCCAAACCCGTGCTGGAACAAAGTCGACGCTCCGTAATTGTATTCCAGAAGTCGTAAATCAAGTCAAGCAGCGTTGACACACGTCCAGCAACCAAAGTAGACGGGTGCACAGAAAGAGATAGATAGTTCTTGCCCGCAAGAGTACGACAGATATATGCGCCCCAATCGGACAGAGGAGGCCCTGAGGGAAGCGTGCCACCGGGTAGTGTTGTACCGGCCGTGTCTTCCCACGACGCCTGCTGCCTAGCCTCGAGCAGACTAGTTCTAGATCGTGACAGAGCTGATACGCTCTTGGCCGTCCCCACCGGGCGTTCTGACAACGCTTTGTGGGTGGTCGTTGAGCAGCAGGAGTTCGAGGCAAAGCACCTGAGAACAGAGAGTTTCGTCCGGTGTTTTGCTCACCAGTCCCTGTTTCGCGCCGCGTCCATCGCCTCCGGTCGTGAAAAAGGCGGATCCTTTTGCGGAACAGCTCAGTTTCTGTGGGGTCGCGTGCTTCGATTGATCGTGAGCTTCTCTTACCATCTCCGAGAACGTCGGCTTTCCTCTCGCACTCCTTCCTCCTATGTACGCTCGACATCGCTTTGATTATCGCCCAGTTGTCTTGTTGACGAGGCAGTTCGCTCAGGAAACAACCTCAGTTAGAGTCGGAACTCTATCAGGCACCGGAAGCGAACGCGTCCCATGGCTTGCCGTAAAGATTTCATTCCTTCTCGGATCGGCCAATTCCTGGTTTGGGGAACAAATTTAAATTCTACCCTTCCTTGGCACAACCCAGATACATGACCGCTTCCAGCTGAACGCGGTGCGTGTCTTACTTTAAGCTGCAGAGACACTCCGTGGAATGCGCAAACAAGAAGTCTTGCAACGTTTCCCATACGTCCTCCTGAGGGTTCTTGTGTGTATGTGATTCATCTCAGTCGCAAGCCACTGGAAAGATGATCACCTAGAAGCACGTTGTTTGGAAACATCAATCAAGAGGCTTTTCCAATTGACCGCAGGGGGCATCCGCCAACCCTCTCCATCCATCAAGTCCATCAGATCTAGTCCAAACTTCCTAGTACATGTATTCATATCATACATTTTCTTGCGCAAACTCCTTGATAATCTGCTGATATGTCCCCCATATTGTTTCGTCAACAGAGAGGTCCCAACTGACTCTTACTGGTACGTAACGCCGATTCCGAAGATCGGACAAAGCGCTAGGAGCGCCCATGACCGGATGCTTTTAGTCCGCGAGTACCTCCCCGGTTATGAGGTAGTCTCCTCAGGAATTTCGGAGGGCCATGGCTCTTACTATTTACTTCTTCAGCACCATCCTTTTGCTCCGTAGACCATCATAGACTAAGATAATCAACATGCCCTGTCCACCGCCAGTGTCCACCAAGCCCCTGGAGATGACAGAGGTCTCCTCGGACGCCCTTCCATATCTCATGCGGCCCTCGTGCCGCAACTGCGATTTCTGCGACGGGCTCGCCTCCATGGATCCAGACACCAGCTTGGCAGCAGGAACGGAGGAACAAGAGAAGGGTGTTGATGTCAAATGTCAGTCGCATTATTGCTCTGTGGGACATGACTGAACGAAACGTACAGCGCTGTTCAAGGGCTTGGGATTCCTAGATCGGTATTTGGCGTTGTTCGTCTTTCTTGCTATGGTCTTGGGAGTGTTACTGGGAGTATATCGAGTGAGTGAATTCTACGTATTTATCTTATCATAACACTTAGTGTTATGGCTGTAGGAAGACGACGTGCACCGAGCCTTCGGTGGAGCTCAATGGCAAGGCGCCTCAATCCGTGCGTCCTTCCCTCCCTCTTCCGCGCCAACCGCAACCTGAATAAACCTAGCGATCCTCATTGGTCTCCTGATAATGATCTGGCCCATCCTCACCAAAGTCTCTTACGAGTCCCTACCCGCCCTCTTCTCAACGCGCAGGATATGGATACATCTTGGGCTCTCGGCGCTGCTCAATTGGGTAGTAGCGCCGTTTGTAATGCTCGGCTTGGCTTGGGCGACGATGCCGGAGCCAGCTTTGGAGAGGGAGAGGAAGGGAGTTATTCTGGTTGGGGTAGCCAGATGTATCGGTGCGTCGGTGGTGACATGTGTTTGTACGGGTGCTCAAAAGTGAATAGCGATGGTCCTCATCTGGAATGGGCTGGCTTGTGGAGATACGCAGTATTGTGCGATCCTCGTTGGTGTCAACTCCGTCCTACAAGTGCGTATTTCTCAATGCCACACTGATTCAGTGCTGAAGATAACCAGATAGTGCTCTTCGCTCCCTACGCTCTGCTCTTCCTCAACGTTCTGGGCGGCTCCTCTTCTCCAGCCCTGATCCTCTCTTATTCGAGTGTCGCGACCAGCGTGGGGATCTACCTCGGCATCCCCCTAGCGGCCGGCATACTCACCAGGTTCATCATCAAGACTATGCTCAGCTCCAAGCATCAGGATCTTTTCTTCCACTACTTCTCCCCTCTCTCCCTCCTCGGCCTCCTCTATACCATCATAGTGCTCTTCGCCGCCCAAGGCCAGCAGATCGCCGCCAACGTAGGCTCGGTATTCCGTATATTCGTCCCCCTCATCCTATACTTCACAATCGTCTGGAACTGCACCTTTTTCGGGCTGTATTTCTTGGGCCGCAGCAGGAGGGGCAGGGCACTAGGAGGATACGACAAAGCTGTCGTGCAGGCTTTCACGGCGGGGAGCAGTAACTTCGAGCTGGCGATCGCTGTTGCCGTCGCGAGTTTTGGAACAGAAAGTCCCGAGGCGCTGGCTGCGACGTACGTCCATCTTCAAACTTTGTTTTCGGAAACACGCTAACTGTGGTGATTAGCATTGGACCGCTTGTGGAAGTCCCGGTTCTGCTGGCACTGAGTTGTGTAGCGCTCTTGCTCAGGAAGAAATTGGATTGGACGCCTAAGCCGAATATTGTCCTAGTATGAGGTGGAGATCATTACATATAAATCAATGTAGAATGTATCTTTGTACCGCTCAGTCCACGGGCAAACCATGGAGTTGTTCTTCTCACGAATCCTGTCGAAAGCCACCAGTTACTAACGCCGATACGGACATAGGAGCGTCACAGCCACTATATCTGTTGCCAGATCGGAGGCGCAGTATGTAACACAGTGCAAGCTATATCATATCACCCTGTAGGTGCACAGTCCCCAGACTGTCGCGTCTCGACCCTCTCATTTCTTGTCATGGCCTCTGACGAAAACGGACCCACACCACCTTATAGAGACGTCTCCCCCGCACCGATAGAATCGAACGGCTCGACTTCCCGGGTACCACGGCCAAAGGTGTACTTCGGCGACGGGCCTTTCACTGCCCCCAGCAGCGCAGACGGGCTGGACGACGAAGAGCGGGCAAAGGCGCTTGAAGAGATGGAGAAGGATAACCCGGATACGGGGGAGAACGAGACACTGTTGGGCAAACCCGAGAATGGGGGTGAGGTGGATGAGGAGCTGGGCAGAAATCCTGTGCAGCCTGATCGGGTGCGTTAGTTCTTCGATTCACTGAGGGTACGTAGTTGATGAAGGTCGATACAGCCCCGTTCACCACTACGATGGCTCGTCATATGCCTCTGTGCCCTCCTGCTCACATCGGTACTCATCGGCGCCTTCGCTGCGTACTCTTACCGCGTCGGCCCTGTACTCCTTGGCAGGCGACCCATAACCATGGATCACGTATTCAACGGGACGTTCAGCAGCTGGAGCCACGCTGTGCGCTGGGTGCCTGAGGCGGGAGATGGCGTGTACGCGAAGACTAATCCGAGCGGGGACATTGAGCTCGTGGATTTGAAGATGAATTCTAGCAGAGTGTTGCTGAATAAAGGTGGAGCTCAAGATGTAAGTTGCACCAGGGATGTATGAAAAGCGACTAATGTTGGTATAGAAAAATGGAGAAATAATCCACTGGGATGCCTGGAAGCTGTCCCCAGACATGCAGTATATTCTCTTGAAGACCAATTATAAGAAGGTTCATCTTCAACCGTCTTTACAGAACATCATACTGACCTTTCTCTAGCAATGGAGACACTCGTCCTTCGGGAACTACTATATCCATTCCCTCAAAACCAACAGCACCCGTGCTCTCGTTGCGCCCTCCGACCCGCCAGTAATATCTTACGTCGCATGGTCTCCCTCTGGCAACTCCTTAGCCTACGTACACGCCTCGGACCTTTACGTCCTGCCCAACCCTTCGCCTCTTACACAGCCTATCCGGGTCACGCATGATGGCAGCAAGACTGTGTTCAATGGTATCCCTGACTGGGTGTATGAGGAAGAGGTGTTTAACACGGATTATGCGCTCTGGTGGAGTCCGGATTCGAGGAGAATCGCTTTCTTGAGGAGTGACGAGACTGCGGTGGATGAGTACACCTTCCCCGTGTATAATCCGACTGATGATGCACACACCGTGGAACCTTATACTGACTTTGTATTGTCCATCCCCTATGGCTCCCCGCATATATGCTGATCACCCATTCAGACGACCATGAAATACCCCAAGCCGGGGTACGCGAACCCCAACGTCTCCGCCATGCTCTTCGACCTGTCCCAGTACGACGCCATCTTCCCGGCGGACACCACTTCCGTACACACCCTTGCTCTCCCAAGTACAATGGATATCAAAGACCGGGTCATCCAGGAGGTGGTCTGGGTGGGGAACACCAGCCTGTTCGTTAAGGAAGTCAATCGTGCTGCCGACCAGGGGAGCGTCATGTTATTCAATCTATCCGCTGGGCTGGAGGGAACTGTTGTGCGCACACTTGGGGGAGAAGGAGGCGAGTGGGCCGATGGTGGGTGGATCGATCCCGAGCAACGGGTCCTCCCCCTCTCGACGCACGGGCTCGAGGGTTACCCGCACACAGCATACCTCGACATCCTCCCCAACAAGAAGGGGTTCAACCACCTCTGTCTCTTCACTTCTGCCCAATCTCGCAGACCGAGATTCTTGACGGACGGAGATTGGGAAGTCACCGGCCAGAACATTAAAGTTGATTCTCAACGACGAGTAGTCTACTTCCAAGGCGCCGGACCAGGAGCAGCGTCGACACAGAGATACATCTACTCTGTCCGCCTGCCATCTGCAACGGCGCTCCAAGCGCTGGAAGAGGAAGGAAGGGATGAACTTCCTTTCGAGGCGCCTACACCGATGATCGACGGCAGCAAGCCGGGGTATTGGTCGGCGAGCTTTTCCTCTCAGGGTGGATATTATTCCCTCTCGTATGAAGGGCCAGAAGTGCCTTGGCAGGAGATGAGGAAGACTGGTGACGCGCGTGAGTTCAGGGCCATTACAGTCGCGAAAACAACTAATGAGAAATAGGCTTCAAGATCCTCCTGGAAAATAACTCGCTCTTGAATCAGACACTGCAGGAATACCACATGCCCCAGATTATCTACAGCACTATCACCATCGACGGTGTAGAGATGAATGCGCTTGAACTGCGTCCTCCAAACATGGACGACTCTGGGCGCGTCAAGTACCCGGTGCTGTTCCGCGTCTATGGGGGCCCGAATGCGCAAGAGATCACCCACCGGTTCAAGAGAGATTGGCATCATTACCTAGCGACGACTCTGAGGTATGTGGTGGTTGTTGTTGATGGGCGGGGAACGGGATGGCGCGGAAGGAACTTCAGGAAGGTGGTGAGGGGAAATCTGGGGGCGTGGGAGGTGAGAGACCAAGTGGAGGCTGCGAAGGAGTGGGTCGGGCGCGAATACATCGATTTGAAGAGAGTTGGCATCTGGGGTTGGGTGAGTTATTAGACGTCGTTTTCATTCATGTGCTGATGCGATTATAGTCATACGGCGGATATATGACATGCCGGACTATTGAGAGCGATTCGGGCGTGCATACTCTGGGCATGGCGGTTGCTCCTGTCACTGATTGGCATTTCTACGGTAAGTCAGCATGCTCATCAGCTCTTCGAAAAGGTATTTACGTTAGCCATAGATTCTATCTATACCGAGCGATACATGTTGACGCCCCAGGCGAATGCCGGGGGCTACAAGAATTCCTCCGTTCATAACGTACAGCCGTTTGGGAAGGTTGACTTCCTCCTTGCACACGGAACCGGCGATGATAATGGTGCGACACTACTGCATCTATCTGATCTCTTACTAACCTTCTCATGAAGTTCACTTCGCAAACTCGGCACATCTCTTAGACATGTTCACACAGGAAGGCGTACGAGGATTCCGTTTCCGGATGTTTACCGACAGCGATCATAGTATCCAACAGCGCGGAGCATATCGAGAACTGCACGAGTACATGACCGCGTTCCTGGTTGAGAAATGGGGTCATGGCGGTATTAAGCGAGGTTGACTCGAAGTTGGATCTGTATCTTCCCTATACCCTGATTAACCATCGCCTTCGAGCATTGTTTGTAGTTGGTCGACGTGACAAATGTAAAGATACCGCTGATACCATCTACGAACTGACTGTATAGATCGGGGATACCGCTTGCCCCAAGACAGATTTGTGATACGTGTGTTAAATTACTGCCCAAAGTGGTTATGTATGTTCCTACGGCTACACAGCTTATCAGTTGTTGTATAGAGAGTTAGATCGTGTGCTGAGAATGCAAAAGATACATATGTTGTGAGAAAGATGAGATACAAAGCAACGTGACGGCGCTTCAGTTTGAGACTCGAGTTCGGGCGTAAATTTCATGGCGTTGCGCACGCATCCATTACCATCACTCCGTAAATCGTGTTTATTGGCGAAGTCGGAACGCGTCGTCCGTGAAAGGTGCCTATCAGAATGTCTGTGTGAAGCCATCAGGCGATCAGAAAATATCAGATGAGGTACAGCGACAAGCAACCGGATAACACAAGCATGACAGCAGACGGCAGACATAGCCGAGAGGTCGATGAAGGCAGTCCACCTGACTGGCCAGACGATGTTCCAACCACTGAGCGAAAGTAGGATTCTGTCGCCTATCCCCGCGGGGAAAACATATTAGACCATTTGTCAAGCGGGATTGCAAATTCAGAGGTGACCAGAAGAAGGGACGCATGTGTTCGAAGAAGCGGACGAGCATCGACTCGTGAGAAAGGTAGCTGGCGGATCGTGCCTCACGAAAAAGTAGAATCGCACTCACATTATCCCCATAAATGGCACGGAAATCCATCAACTGATCGTTTCGGTCCTTGAACAGGTTGAACCATGACACGGCGATCAGACCCGGATATTGCTTACATGTCTTCAGTCAAGGCGAGAGACGACAAACTGGCAGAACAAAACTCACGGAAGCCGACCCTACCCCGCTCAGTTGCTCCATCCAACTCTGCTTGATTTGCAGTTGCCCAACTCCGCCGCCAGCGGGTGTCACATTAGAATCGGTCTGATATTTACGGGCGATCTCGGTGTCATTCCCGGTACTGAGAAGTCCGGTGGGTTGATCATAGTGATACGGTGCGGAGCTTTCAGACATAACAATAGGTTTCTTGTGAGCGGTGAAATACTCGGCATAAAAAGCTTTTAACCCCGACGAGAATGCATCGGATGAGGGAAGTATATTCTCTGTTTGGGATGAGTCTCCAAAGAAATAGAATGATAAACCACAGAGATCCACCATCTGATCGGGCACAGAATGAAAAGATTAAGAGTCAGGGTGTTTGTCAGAGCGCGAAGCCGGAAGACGTACGGCATCTCCCGGATAGTAATTCATATAGCCGTTGAGCGGATCATTGATATCACCACCTCAAACGTTGGGTGACCAAAGAAAGAATGTCTTCGAAGCTTGTGCTTGCTTGATAGCACCATACAACAACTGCCAACTTTCTTTGAATGAGTTTGGTTGCTGCCCATAGATACTCCCTACATTTTTGGGAATTCAATCAATCTAATGATTAAAGGGGGGGGTGGGAATTGCAAAGCAGAGATGCACAATAACCATTGAATTCATATGCAAAGCAACACCCTAGGTGAAAGGGCTTATGATGCCCTTTCGCTCCCAATAGTACACTAAACAAATGTATTACTAGCTAGTAGTAATACAACAGGTGTACTAAAGAAAGATAAGAGAAAAGGGTGGCCTACAGCCACCTGCTACGTGTAAGTCCATTGGACAATCCAATCGCCCTAGAGGCAGTGTTACCATATATGGTAAGTATGGGGATATCTACATATCCCTTACAC